TTTCCAAATAACACAACAATGAACTATAATTCAAGAATTCTGTGCACAACAAAGTATTGTACGAAAATTGACTTCAAGCTTTATTTTTTTTCCCAGGCACTTATAACCCATCCACCAAAGACCTGGTTCTTTTGTTAATGCGAAGACAATACTTCTGTATTTCCTGATGTGTTGCACTCACTGACAATCTAGCGGATTTTTCCAACTATGCACAGAAATGATTGTACATAAGTGAAAAGGATGTTTTATACTATTGGGATTAACATTTATCAAGTGTATGTATAATCTCCAGTGTACATGTTAAACACATTTTGCTATCGATTGTAAATTGTGACTGAATAATATGGTCCTATTTCTGTAACAATTTGATTATGCCTGTAAACTGGCGTCCCTCATGTACTGTACCATGAAAATAAATTTATTTATTTTTTGTCCAGAAGGGATTTTTGAAATAATCGGTCCTTTACAAGGCTTTTGTATTGTAATTCTAATACAAGCTGCCCCACTCCAATAAGAAATTATGGTACTGTTCGAGCAACTGGTAGTGATAGCAGCAGCTAAAGGTGTCATCCAAACTGACTATACTCAATATGCAATCAGGATACAATCACCCAGCGAGATAAAGACAGATTAAGTACTTTATCGTTCTGGGTAAGTAACAGTAAATGAAACGTTTGTCCACAACTTTCAGTAGTTTTTCAAGTTTATTCAATAATTATATCCTATTAAAAAATTTTGTTGGTTCAGTTTTAATATCTTTTTATAATATGTGTAAACAGGTTACTTTGCAATGTCAAATGTTTACTTAATATAAGACTCATGATAATTTAGTACACTAAGTCCTGCCAACCGGCCTTACCTTCAGTTCATACTACGTACATTGAGCCCTAACTATAGTGTTCTGCTGAATCTTGCTCCACTATTCACAAAACCTATTCTTCTTACTTTTTAAGGTTTTAACTCCTCATAAAGCAATCTGTCCATTAGGACGCATGCACAAATATATAATATGTTCATAAAGATGTACGCGGAGACCTATTGGAAGCACTCATTCAGAAAGCTAGGGAGATGGAATATGGGGTACGAACATGTCTGGTACCAAGCAATATACTTGCGGTAGCCATAATAATCATAGTCTCAGGGCCTAACATCATAAAAGGAGGGAGGGTGGCGCTAACTGATCAGTAGATATGGTAGTGGTCACTAAGGTGTATCGCCCCATTCTGCAGGAACAGCAATATGCAATTTGACGGCTCGAGATTTTTCTGAGGGCATAGATCTTTATCTTGAAAAAGATAATAATGAACGCCTAGACATATCACGCTTCTGCCTTTAAATATGTACCATTCGCTCAACCTATTTTTGAGGTGCAACCACGTGGGCTCTGCACAGATTTATGGGGCATCTTATAAATTAACTTGCTTTCGATTGTCGGATCTTTAAATAGCACTTCACAATGTTTTATCTCATTCATTTCCTAATAAAGTCTTTACTTGATCATTATTATATTCCATTCCTAACATTTCATAGCCCTATATGAATTCGATTCGAATCATTCTATTCCTATTCTCTGTAGGATACGGTTGTGCACCAAATGCACGAAAAGATATAAAATAAAAACAACCGGCATGAGGATAAATGTATTAAAACCAAAAGTGGACATCATGATAGTAAGACCTATATGGATAGCATTATACATAGCAAATGAACGTTGTCAGCCTAGGAATTATATGGTTTCCCGATATATTTCATCCATAAATGCATTAATTAATGATACTTGCACTTACTTATTTCATTACACTTTAATGATTCACCGTAGCACTTCTACTGTTCTGAAACAGCTTTCAATCCATTGCAAACGTCGTACTTACCTCAATATTGTCGTATGCCTACAACCACGGGTTGAAAACGAAACGAAGTCGATTTTCCCGCGAAACCTGGAGGACAACTGTACAATTCAATAACTATACAGCTTGGTTCAGACAATGAGTGTATTCATATATATCAAATATTTAGCTGTTAAAACATTATTTTAATGCATTTATTAATGATACTTGCACTTACCTATTTCATTACAATTTAATGATTCACCTCAGCAATTTACTTTTCTAAAACAGCTTTCAATCCCTTGTAAACGTTGTACTTACCTCAATTTTGGTTGGTTATCGTATGCCGACAACCACGGGATGAAAACTAAACGAAGTCGATTTTCCCGCTCAACCTGGAGGGCAATTGTACAATTCAATAACTATACAGCCTAGTTCAGACAATGTGTATTTATATATATATCAAATATTTAACTGTTGAAACATTATTAACTTGTAGACAACCTACGATTTGATATTATATCATACTTGATCGTGCCTGTAAAAATGGCATGCATTTTCATGTAAATTTATATGTTTATATGAGAATATACATTATTATTATTAACTTGTAGGCAATCTACGATTTGACATTATATCACACCTGATCGTGTCTGTAAAAATGGCATGCATTTTCATGAAAATTTATGTGATTATATGAAAATATACATTATTATTAATGACCTTGAACAGTGATGGGCGACAAAAACAAAAGATATGGAAAAGGCATTGGAGACTGGCAACAACAGACTTATCAGGGAAACAGGTCGTGAAAAGCAAACGATAATTGAAACAATCTCTGAAGAAAATGGTGCCATAGTTAGCTCTCAGGATAAACGACAGGAACGTTGGAAAGAACACTTTAAGGAGCAGTTTACTTAGCGAAGAGCGACGCCCAACCCACCCTTCATTCAAGACCTCTGTCAGCCACGTCTCGTAAACCGTCAATGCCCAGCTCTTGCTACGCTGGGACTCACGCCGTTCCTTGAAGTTTCTCAGAAACGCTTAGTAATAACGGACGCAAAACCAAAACACCGATTGGTTACTCGAGAATTCTTTATTGTAACACCAACATATGGGCAACTTTAAAATTAAGTTTTAACTAAGGTCTATGAATAAATATTACAATAATAAATCACAATATTACATCTGACAGTTTTGGCCTGACTTCCTTCTGAACAGCGGCCGATGAGACGATGACTGGTGTATCGATGTCTCCGCGAAAATATAGGGAAGTTGGGTTTGAGCAAACAACCATGAATTGATCGTTCAATCTTCAACTACATTGACACTCCCCGGCAAAAAAGGGGTCCATTCCTTTTTTCTATCACGACCAATACACGTTGACTTGGATGCCATTCATGTATAGTAGTATACGCATAGAGAACAAATTGAAAGTCGAGGGAGTGCAGAGGTACTTCACGTCAAAATTACTCGGAACCGAAAATGGTGCGAACTACTCCACTAGATGTCATACCTTAGGATTAGAAACACTATGGCTAAGACGCCTGAGACTAAACTTAACACTTTACTATAAGCTTCTGAACCACTTAGTTTTTACCTCTACCAATGGCACTCGACTTTCAGATGACAATGGCTACAAACTAAGACACACTAAGGGTACAGTAGCTATCGAACAATGTAAAACAGCTACCAGGCAAAAGTTTTATTTGATTAGGTATGCACAGATATGGAATAAACTACCAATGGAAATGCGTCAAGCAGGTACATTGGCCTCCTTCAAAAAAGTGCTTAACGACAAACTACAAGGGTTTGCAAACGATAGTAGTCCTAGTTCCTATCTGAGAGCCTCCGAAATTATAGGTCCATTTAATGTATAAGCCCAAATACTACACCTGTTGTTTTTGCCTATATTTATAATTTTAGATAAAACATTAACGATTAAGATACTTACATTCAAACAGACAAGAAGTTTCGTTTGTAAAACTTCTACCCAACACAATAAGTGGAATAAAATGAAAATAAACCGACAACATGAAAAAGATATAACTCACCACAACATCACATGGACAGATGTACGCTCGTCGGACATCATATATGCCTCACCAACTACAACTCAACTTTCCTAAGATAATGTGATGAACTTATATCCGTAATGTTGCTGAGCAGTTAATATCCACAAATCCTGTCGGAACAACTAAAATTCAAAAACCTTCCTCACGAGAAGTAAATACCCACAAGCAGTAGAAATCCATTAATTAATGCGTCCAAGGCTTATGTATTTTGCTCCCAACAATGACATTGCAGATCAATTGAGATAAGGAAATCACTGATTTCCAAATAACACAACAATGAACTATAATTCAAGAATTCTGTGCACAACAAAGTATTGTACGAAAATTGACTTCAAGCTTTATTTTTTTTCCCAGGCACTTATAACCCATCCACCAAAGACCTGGTTCTTTTGTTAATGCGAAGACAATACTTCTGTATTTCCTGATGTGTTGCACTCACTGACAATCTAGCGGATTTTTCCAACTATGCACAGAAATGATTGTACATAAGTGAAAAGGATGTTTTATACTATTGGGATTAACATTTATCAAGTGTATGTATAATCTCCAGTGTACATGTTAAACACATTTTGCTATCGATTGTAAATTGTGACTGAATAATATGGTCCTATTTCTGTAACAATTTGATTATGCCTGTAAACTGGCGTCCCTCATGTACTGTACCATGAAAATAAATTTATTTATTTTTTGTCCAGAAGGGATTTTTGAAATAATCGGTCCTTTACAAGGCTTTTGTATTGTAATTCTAATACAAGCTGCCCCACTCCAATAAGAAATTATGGTACTGTTCGAGCAACTGGTAGTGATAGCAGCAGCTAAAGGTGTCATCCAAACTGACTATACTCAATATGCAATCAGGATACAATCACCCAGCGAGATAAAGACAGATTAAGTACTTTATCGTTCTGGGTAAGTAACAGTAAATGAAACGTTTGTCCACAACTTTCAGTAGTTTTTCAAGTTTATTCAATAATTATATCGTATTTAAAAGACCGGAAGTTAGTTTAGAAGAGCAGAAGTTTGGGTTTTCTTGCCAAACCTTGACGCTCACTGCCATTTATAACTAATTGACTCTAGAACAGAAACAATAGGCGAAATACAGCAAGGGCCGCCACATAACCATTCAAACTGTGTTGGAAAGTTAAAATTCAGCACAATATGCCCACGCATCCTATTTGGTTTTACTCATGTTTACAAAATATTGAGGATTGTATTTAAGGTGGCGGGCAATTTGACTCTACCGCTTCATTCGCCCCCTGGTATGTTCGCACCACGTTGGTTATTTCATCTGATCGGTAGCTTGCATCTTGAATATGACAATCGTTTTGCGTCCTCTTCCTCCCTTAGTCTCTTCATAGATTAATTCATAGAATAGCAGCTAAAAATGATCCCAAGAAATCACTTTGGATGGTCGAATGCAAAATCTCCTACCATGAAGTCTTCTTCATCCCAGCCCTACCTCTTCTTCAACCCTTAGCGCTAGATTTAAACTCAACAAAATTATGGAACTGGGTGAATTCTCAGCGTTCATGGGCAGTTTCATAGACTCTCCTGGAGTCATGCTGAAGGTAAATTCGCTCTAGGCTTCCGGCACCAATGGTCTATTGTCGAAAACGGTTATGATTGACCTTGGACCAAACAATAAATTCTCTCAACATAAAATTAAATGTTTCTCAAAGAGCCTCTTAGCAAGTTTCACCTATATTCAGGGTTATTGTTAAGGTTAGGTGGAAACTTGCAACAAAGATTATGAGCAGCATTCAATTGAGATGCTGAGCATTGGGAACATCACCATTATTTAAATTCATCATAAAGTTATTCATCAGTACTAGTGGATCCTAAACTTGTACTCATGCAGATTCGCGTTTGTTTACAATAGCCACTCCTAGGAATACTGAAACATTTTGCTGCATGACATGCGTATATCCAGTAAACATACTTTTCTATGTATTAGAAATGCCACTTTGCCGGAAGGTCGAAGGTCATTTGAATGTGGTATCTTTCCTTCACCGTTGTTCTGTTATTACCACCGAATATAATGACCTGTAATTTTACTGTGGCATAAGACGGCAGGTATGATAACGTGTATAGAAGCTTAGCACTAAAGTTGTCATTCGATACCAGAACAGAAATCAGTAATATGCATCAGAATACATCAGTCTGAAGTATATAAATGGCTTCATTGAAATCACATACATATTAACACTGTCACTTGGAGTTATTCCCTTTGTTTTCTAGGTTTCAGCAGCTGTAGATGAAAGTCTGCAGCCTGTTGGGAATGTCTTTCGTGAGGCACCATGGACAGTACTAACGCACTGTTACCTTGACTTAGTGGTCGGACTTGCATATCACAATGACCCAACAAGCTACACTGGCTGGAACTATTGTTTCTGCAGTCCCTACCACGCCAGGAGTCAATGCCGAGAAAATATATTTCACTGATCAAGACACTCTACTCGAACTCATGTAGTCATGTGACAGCTTAGGGCGAGTTGTCATCTGAACTGGTGACAACCAGTGCAGTGGTGTCGGTCAGGGATATCTACTATCCCCAGTTCTATTCAATTTCACTATAAATGTACTAATGGACTTAGCCCTTAATGACTGCAGCGACTCAGGGATTGACTTGTTATCAGGGAATAATCTCGTTGACTCAAAATATGCAAATGATATGGTCCTGAATTCAAGGTGAAGGTACTGACAAAATGGAAAGTCTTCTGAACACTTTGAACTGCAATCTTCGAATATTTGGCATGCGATTCACTACTGCTGTCGAATGTAAGGTGGTGCTACAGGACTGGACTACACTGACTCCTAACTTAGAAATAGGGAGTGAAGTGGTAGAATGTGTTGACCACTTCACTTATTTAAGAAGTTGCATCAACCGTTCTCACTGGGTTGACGGCTGACGATATCTCAGCGCGCATACAAAATGTTCACTTGGTATATGCCAAATAACACCATCTCCGGCTTAGTATACGTGATATCCGGCTGTTTTTCTATCTGAGGGCGTGTGTACTACAGCTCAGCAGTCCTCTCAGTCCTCCTTTATTGCTGGCTATGAGACGTGGTCATTGAAAGTGGAAGATATGAAAAGACTAGCTAGGTGTTTTTGATCATAGGTACCTGTGTTTTAGCTGCCGTTTGAAGTGGTATAATAGGTTGGGCAATATTGTGGTTAGGCATCGGTTGAGTGCTAGGTAGTTGGGAGGGGAAATCAATCGACGGGACTGTGAAGCTATGTCGACTGAGCTGGTTAGGACAAGCGTTACGTTTGCCTGCGTAGACATCACATTTCTCAACAACAGGCGATGTTATTTTTTTTTTTTTTTTGATTTACAGCTTGATTCCACACTGTACTTTCGGTACAAGTGTGGAATTTTCAGCATGGATATCGGTAGCCCAAATTTTGCAGGCCGACCATAGATATCAGGTGTGCGTCGGTGCGGGTTCAAACCCCGGATCATGTGCATGGTCGGCGAGTCCTAACCACTGTGCCACCGACAAAGGGTCAGATTAGAAAAGAGCCAGTGCTGGTCGAACCTAAACATGGCTTCAGCAGTCAATGAAATCCACAACAGTTGGTCTAAGCCACGTAGGAAGGTGTAGACTTCCAGGCTGGGGTCCTGGAGACGGTAAAAATCTATGGTTGGAAACAATTGGTGACATGGCTCAAAATCGTTCTCAGTGGCTGGCTGGCGCAGATGCATCCACTCCTTGTGACTTATGATCTCCAATGAAACTGTTTTGTTCTTCGTTATTACTGCTCCTTTGTCTCACACCTCGGCTCACTGTCTCTATTATGCTTTTCTTGTACTTTCTTCCCTTGCTTCGCGTGCTACATGGAGTGTGGCGACTTGAACTTCCGCACATTTGTGCAAAGTTCTATGTCGAAAACAGACATACAGACATCCGTTAACATTGCTCATCGGGAATGGAGATGACCAGGCATACGTAAAACATGTCCTAACCCTCTCAGTCTTCATAACTTCACAACTTCGTCGATTGATTTCCCCTCTTTACATAGCACTCGACGCCTAACCTCAATATTGCTCACCTTATTATGCCACTTCTCACGGGAGATAGAAAGCAGGCACCTATGATCAAAGACAGCTAGCGAAGCTTTTCATGTCTTCCACTCTCAGTGGCCAGGTCTCCCAGCCATAAAGGAGGACGGAGCGGACTGATGAGCAGTACACCCGCCCTTTCGTCGATAGTCGAACATCTCGTCTACGCCAGAGTCGGCGTAAACTGGCAAATACGAAACGAGCCCCCTGTATTTGCGCTGAGATTTCATGAGAGATCAACCCGTTGGCATTGGCTGATGGTACTTCCCAAATAAGTGAAGCGGTCAACGTGCTCTATCGCTTCACTTCCTATTTTTAAACTAGGCGTCGATGCAGTTCAGTCCTGTAACATCATCTTGCATTTGGTGGGAGCAAATCACATGCCAAACATTCGTAGATTGCAGCTCAAGGTATTTAGAAGACTCTGCTGTATTTTGTCATCGTCCTCGCCTAGCAGGAGGACTATATCGTCTGCATATTCTAAGTCAACGATATTATTCCCTGGTAGCAAGTCAATCCCTGAGTCGCTGAAGTCACCTAGGGTTCAGTCCATTAACACATCTATGATAAAGTTGAATAGAAAAGGGGATAATGGGCATCCTTGACGGACACCACTAGTCGTCATCACTTCAGATGACAACTCGCCGTAAGCCCTCACCTGGCTGATGGCATGAGTACGAGTAGAGTGCCTTAATCAGTGCAATGTATTTTCTCGGAATTCCCTTTACAGCCAAGCCTCTTAGAGAACTTCTCGATCGACAGAGTCGAATGCTGCCTTTAGGTCAAGAAATATAATGACTGTTGGACTCCGGTAGGAATGCCTATGTTCTAGAATCTGTCGGAGGGTGAAGATATGATCAATACACCCTCTTCCTGGTCTAAAGCCAGCCTGGCTCTCTCGTGTTTGTGCCTCCCATGGACCACTTAGTCTACGCATGATTATTGAGCCTAGGACTTTAGATACCACCATATTAGTCAAGCTAATCCCTCTGTGATTATCACAGGAAGACTTGTCTCCCTTCTTGTATATGGGGATAATCAGTGACTTACACCAACCTGATGGGACTTCTTCTGATTCCCAGACGCTGCCTAGTACCTCAGTTAATCCGGACAGTAAACTGTCTCCACCGTACTTAAATACCTCTCTAGTCATTGCATCAGGTCCCGCTGCTTTGCCTAGTTTCAGATTGGTGACAGCTTTAGTAACCTCAGTTAGGGATGGAGGACCTGTGTCTATATCCCATTCAGGGAGGTGTTGGATGTTCGGCAGGTTGAGTGTGGTTGTGGACCAATTGAACTGCTCCTCATAATGCTCTTTCCAGCGATCTAGTCGTCTATCCTGGGAGCTAATTATAGTGCCATTTTTTCCCGAGATTGTTTCACTAATGATTTGTTTATTTTATAAGAATACATCATATACCGTATAACCTTAATAGACAATTTAAAGTTTTGTACATGTATATATATCTATGCATATATTCTTACTTTTAGTATTTCCAGTGTCACCCCAGAGTAATTAATATTTGTGTTGGACTTTGAACTTCCCTCACAATAAAATGGTAATCACATTTCTTCCCACATTATATATCCTGTTAATATATAATTCAAAAAATTCAACCAGTCCGCGCTGTTTAATTTTCAAAGTCTATTAAGTGTCATTCTCTTGCTGATATGCACTTGTGCTTATGTTAGACACTTTTGGCCAGCATTACTAGATTCACGAAAGAATGGGTATGTTGTGTTTTTTTTATGATGTTCCATCAATTAACAATATTTAATCAAGACTTTTAGGATTATTTTGGAAATGTGCAAGAATTGGTTAGTACTCATTAATATAATAATATAAATTAAAAAAAAATATTTCTAGGTGAACGTAAAAGTCCATATGTTGCTGTCTGTTGTCTTGGAATGGCGTGTGCAGTACTTTTCAATTCTTAACTATTGTACATTGAATAAATAAATCAATAAAAATTGTTGAAGTGGCTTCATTTCTTACTTTCTTTTCTTTTGTTTGTTTGTTTGTTTGTCTGTCTGTCTGTTTTCGACATAAAATAACTTTGCACCAATGTGCACCAGTTCAAGTCGCCATACGCCACTCCTTGTAGCACACACAAAACAAGAGAAGAAAGTAAAAAGAAATGCATAATAGGTAGAGACAGTAAACAGAGGTGTGAGACAAAGGAATAGTAATAACGAAGAACAATATAGTTTCATTGGAAATCATAAGTCACATGAAGTGGATGCATCTAACTGCGCCATCCAGGCACTGACCACGATTTTGAGCCTTATCACCAATTGTTTCCAGCCTTCATTGGTTTTTACCGTCCCGAGGACCCCAACCAGTCAGTCAGGAAGTCTACACCTTCCTACGTGGCTGGCTGGCAAAAACTAACTGTTATGGATATCACTGACTGTTGGAGCCATGTTTTGGTTTGACAGCCGCTGGCTAGCTCTTTTCCAGCCTGACCCTGTGTCAACTAACACTATCCGTCAAGGAAGGCGATGACTAGGCATCCATGCGTAACACATATCCTAACCATCTCAATCGGTGTAACTTCACAACCTCAACGATTGGTTTCCCCTCCTTACCTAGCACTTGACCAATGAGTAACCTCAATATTGCTCACCCTATTATACAACTTCACACGGGAGATAGAACGCAGGCACCTATGATCAAAGACAGTTGACTAGCTTTTTCATGTCTTCCACTCTCAATGGCTCAATGTCTCACAGCCAGCCATAAATAAGGACGGAGCGGACTGTTGAGCACTAGATACGCCCTTTGGTCTACAGCAGCCAGCCGGATATCACGTCTACTAAGCCAGAGATGGCGTAAACTGGCATGTATGCGAAACTAGCCCTCTGTATCTGTACTGAGATTTCGTCAGAGATCAACCCGTTGGCGTTGGGGCTGATGGTACTTCCCAAATAAGTGAAATGCGGTCAACGTGCTCTACTTTCTTTTTTTCTCTCTCTCTGGTTCTCTCGCTTTGTTCACTTGTCCTAATCACACTTAATTTTTTTTAGGTTTTATGCCATGCAATCGTTGTTCTCTGGTAAAATACTCACACGTTGTTTGGCAAATAATGCATTGAGGAAAAATTCCTCGCATGTTCCCAATCCATATCGTCGTTCAACTGGGCCTGATATAAATATGGTTGCAGTGATCGGTTATTGTATCACTGTTCTACCGTTGGGATGGATTATTTACGATCGAGTTCACGGCATAGATCAAGTGCCTAGACGCGAATAATAACAATAACAATAAAAATGTAGTCATGATATGTAGTGTGTATTATATATATAGAATAAATGTGTTAATCACTAAATTTTAATCTTTTCATCTAATAATTAATTATTTTAATTAGTCCCGCTGTGTTAAAGAAAAGAAAATCAAAACAAGATCTGTTCTTTCTGCTGCTGAAGAAGCTGGCTGTGACAGCTTTGACTTTGAAACTTGAGTTTTATTGTTTTCTTTGTTCTCTCCTATTTGTCTTCGTTGGGGTAGTAGAATTTTCCAGATGTCCAGCTGGACAGGTGTCGAATTATTCCTACTACACGTATTCACTCTCAGTTGATTCAATAAACAAAGCTTCCGTTGTTATCAATCTTTCCATGTACCCTGTGACATTAGATTTTAAAACTGTCATCTTATCCCAACCAGCCTATTGTGTGGTTGTGTGTAATTGTATGTAGTGCTTGCGATAGCTGAACTATTCTTTAAATTTCTTATCTTATTCGGGTCAACTAATCTAGATTTTGCTAGGTGTCATGTTCGACCAGTCTGACTGCTCATGTTTTACTAGTTTGACCTATGTATTTGACCTGACAATCATTGCAGGCAGGGTATTACGTTAACTAAATTGTTTTGTCTCAACGGCTCCACAGGGTTGATCCTTGCATTTAACCGACAAAGCTTGTTTCTAATTGAGTTTGTGGTTGGTTTGAATTCCAGCCACTTTTATTCCTGCCCGCCTCGTTAAGAATTCTGCGTAATATGGTCTTGGAGGTTCCTTCCTTGTATGGAATTACTACTGATGATTTAGATTCCTTATTGTAGGCGTTGTCTTGAGCATATCTGACATGCATGTCCTCATTAATATTATTATTATTAGTATCACTACTATCATTATTTATTTTATTTTAACATTTCCCCACATACTTTCTGACTAATTTATCAGGGTAATTATTGAGTTTCATGGCTTCTTTTATGTGTATCACTTCCTGTCTTAGAGTTTCCTTGATACTACTTAGTTTTTGTGCTCTGTTGTCATTTGAATATTTCACCAATCCTATTTTTAGTGACATAGGATGGATTTGATGATCGGAAGTTCAAATATCTGTTTGAATGTGTGGGTTTTCTGTAAACACACACGCACTAGTATGTATTTAACTTCCCATCTTCTTTCCTTTTTACATTGCAATCTAACATTGGAAGCTCCCCTTCCTGATTTTCCAATTCATCATAAGTGTATTGAATTGCCTCCACCTTTGGGTTAGTTAATGTGTTTGAAAAATCTGTGTCATTGTCATTGTGTATTTTTTTCTGTATGGGTGTGTTTGTGTATGTACGTTATTTGTCATATGGAAAAGACGTCAATTCACATATGATAAACATGATGATATACTTTTTATAAGGTCATGGAGGTTCTTAGAGGTTTTTGTTGTTCTTTTTTCATCTGTCTGGCTTCATTCGAGTTTGCCACATAGGTGATAAGTCTATCCCTTCTCTCCTTCCTATTTACTATATTCGATGTAGTTAGAATGTGCATGGCTTCAGAGGTCAACCTTTCTTTATGTGTTGAAGAATGAAATCCTCTTCCTAGAATTTCGACATTGTCGAAATCTCAATCTTATGTCCGCTGTCCATAGACAGACAGCATGCATCAATTGCTATAGCCGACCTTCTTTCTCTAGACTTTTTAATTCTACTTCATCATTTCTAAACCGAGACGTTTCGTGTATACTCTATATGTTCATTCACCTGTTGACCTTCACCTGTCTACTGCTCTCCCCCACTCCATATAGCATGCTTCACATTCTGAACACTTTATCTTGTAGACTTTAGATACTATATTAGTCAAGCTAATCCCTCTGTGATTATCACAGGAAGACTTGTCTCCCTTCTTGTATATGGGGATAATCAGTGACTTACACCAACCTGATGGGACTTCTTCTGATTCCCAGATGCTGCCTAGTACCTCAGTTAATCCGGACAGTAAACTGTCTCCACCGTACTTAAATACCTCTCTAGTCATTGCATCAGGTCCCGCTGCTTTGCCTAGTTTCAGATTGGTGTCAGCTTTAGTAACCTCAGTTAGGGATGGAGGACCTGTGTCTATATCCCATTCAGGGAGGTGTTGGATGTTCGGCAGGTTGAGCGTGGTTGTGGACCAATTGAACTGCTCCTCATAATGCTCTTTCCAGCGATCTAGTCGTCTATCCTGGGAGCTAATTATAGTGCCATTTTTTCCCGAGATTGTTTCACTAATGATTTGTCTTCTCCCACCCGTTTCCCCCTGATGAGTCTAAATAGTTGCCTGGTGTTGCCAATCCTCGAAGCTTTCTCCATCTCTTTGGCTTTTGTCACCCACCACTGTTCACGGTGCTTTCGGAAACTTTTCGTAAGTTTCCTCTTGTGCAGCTTTCGCTCCTCATTGAATTCGGATTGCTTGTAGACACAATCACTTTGCACGAAACGTCTCGGCTTAGAAATGATGAAGTAGAATTAAAAAGTCTAGAGAAAGAAGGTCGGCTATAGCAATTGATGCATGCTGTCTGTCTATGAACAGCGGACATAAGATTTCATTCAACACATGAAGAAAGGTTGACCTCTGAAGCCTTGGACATTTTAACCATACTGATTGCAATAAATGAGAAGGAGAGAAGGGATAGACTTATCACACCTCTACGGCAAACTCTTATGAAGCAAGGCAGATGAAAAAAGAATCTCTAAGATCCTCCATGGCCTCTAAGAAAATGTATCACATCATGTTTATCACATGTGAATTGACGTCCCGTTCCATATGGCATATAACACACACTCATACACACACACACACACACTAATACAGAAAAAGATATACACAATGACAATTTGACATTAGTCATTACAAATATATGATTGATGTGATTGCTTTTACATATTTCTATTGGTGCGAAGGTCTGTCGACGAGAGACCTTCAAATAAACTGACTTCAGTTTATGTAGAAGAAAAATGTTTTGACTGCAATATATACATATATATATATATATTGATGATGAATAAAAGATCCGAATAAATCTGCTGCTGAAGAAGCTGGCTGCGGCAGCTTACACAGCGAAACGTGTTCGAAAAAAAATGGATCTTGTTGTTTTAATTTTCTTTTTTTTCTTAAACCCGCTGGGATTACTTGGAATTAAAATTTATAATGAATCTTCTATCTGATTCGGCGGTCGAATTATTTGCAGGAAGTATTCGTAACACCTACCTACGGTGTGGAAACTCACACCCGACCTGCTGTACCATACTGGTCACGACTTACTACTGGAACACCAGATAACTACCTACCTGAATAGGGCCAGTCGCCAGTGAGCCGCATCTCATTGGTATTCGAGTGTTGGTTTGTAGGGATTTGATTGGTTACAGGATTTTATCATAAGCTGACATTGGTTAGAGAACCATTGGAAAACAAGCTGGGAGTACTGGACAACTGTTTCGTCCTAGTTTGGGACTAATTCTTCAGCAGTACGCACCCACCGCCATTGTTCGAACCCAAGACCTTCCGGTTACCAATGTCAGCTCATGATGAAATCCTGAAACGAATCAAATCTCTACAAACCAACACTTGAATTATAATTTTTATTTAATAATTATAAATTATAACTCTAAAGCATAAAAAGAATGATTATGAGGATAATTTCACTTATGTAATAAGATTTTAAAACGTTTTAATGTTGTATAGGGCTAGCAAATTGAATCGCCACTATACTCTAATTGCTTCATTCATAGTTTTAAATGAGTTATTTTGTTATCCTCTTTTTTATTCTGTACTAAATGGACTTTTCGTGCCCAATTTTTGTTTTATTTGGCTTATGCTCCTTCTTTCGATAAATATGTTTGTATTAGCCATTCCTCGTTGTATTGCTTTCATTATTTCTTTCACATATATACGCTCACATTCAAACGTATGTCAACCATATTAATATCGATTTTGATAGAGAAAGAAAGACCAGATTTGCAGTATACAATGATGCCATCATCATTCTATTTCACAGGTTCCCCTCATCAGCTAACTGCAAACTACCTGAAAATACAATGGTTATAACTAATAATGACATTTCATACTTCATTATTTGAAAGGTAATAGACAAAACAATATAAGGTGAACGCATCATCAATTTATATACTGTCAAATTATGAAAAAAGGGGAGGGGTGAGAGAAGACAGAAAACAGAAAAAATCTAGTAAACAGTGTCAAAATGGCAACTCAAGAAGGTCAAAGTTCATCAATTCGAAAACTTGCTTAGTGAGTTGAGCTCACTAGTGTCTACGACTAATCAGTGTAATGAAGTGATATGGCTACCAGGGGAGTGAGAGATTTCAGGCAGGGGTTTGCAGTTAGCTGATGAGGAGAACCTGTGAAATAGAATGATGATGGCATCATTTTATACTGCAAATCTGGTCTTTCTTTGTCTATGAAAATTTATCAAGGGAACCAAATGTATAATATCGATTTTTTTTAATGACAAATAATACAGTCTGTTAAGAAACACATACTGTAAGATGGTTTTTAAAAGTTATATTCCAACGCATATTTATTATTATTATTATGTTATTATTAATTATTGTTTTTGCCTTTAGCAGAAAAAAGGAAAACTATGAACTTGCTGTTGAGAGGAAGACTTTCATCATCCTCGTACTTACGAAATTGTTTTCTAAGTCATGAAGTGTGTACAAGAAATCATTTCTCCACTGCTGTTGTATATGCTTCTCGATTTTATTGTACTTCTGGTCTAACTAACTCCAGACAAACTGATCATCGACAAAAACAACAGCAGATAGTTTTTCATCATTCATCACAACCATTTTATCGGAATTTATCTTCTCAACGATTTAAAAGTTCTCAAAGCTCTGGAGGCTCTACAAGCTTCTTTACTGATAACTTATTTGCAACCTTGTCTGTTGGTTTACTTCTTATCGGTTGCTATGCTTTTAAGTGGTATATCAACTTGGAACCGGATTACAGTCTAACAAAGGAGAAGAAAAAGAAAGGAAACTTAGAACACTCACGGTTAGTTTATTGTGTTTTTTATTCAGAATTTTAACTGCATGTTGTTTTCTTTGATTGTTAGTTCTTCGTTAAGTATTACTATTATCATTTATTATTATTATTGTTTCCTTTAATCCCTAGAGGAACATAGGGCTTCAACCGAACGTCCTCATTGCGTTTGGTTCTCTGTTAAAGTTTTCATCACCTGGCTCCACACTTCTGCCCAGATGCTTTCATCTCCTCTTCACATGACCCCCTCCTACAAGTCACCCTCATACTGACGACCAACTCGGGTCGTTTTCACTTTCGGGTTCCACTCGAGCAATGGCTTGTCTAGTGATGCCAGTCACTTGATGGTTTGTTTTCTCAGAGTACGGCCATTCCATCTTCATTTCTTCCTGCCTATTTGTTTCACAATCAGTTCGTAGTTGGTTCACTCCCAGAGATCCCTATTTGGCTGATCTTTTCTGGCCGGCCATCTGATCTTGAGTATTGAGCGAAGACAACTGTTAATGAAGGTCTGTAGTTTGTTTGAGATGTTCTTTATGGCACACCAAGTCTCTCCATATAGTAGCACTGACTTCATATATATATATATATATATATATATATATATATATGTGAATGAAGGAAACAAGAAAGTTGTGTCAGTGAGTGACTTGATATGATTATGAGTGTCAATAATAATAAATTGCGCTCGAAGCCTGTGGTCGGATCAGTTAATATTGCTGTTATAACACAGCACTGTGTGACACTTTATCAAAATAAAATCTAATCCATAATGGAATAGTTATACTTCGTGTCAAAACGTTTCTGTACTTAAACCTCATAATTTATTTAGGCTGTAAGCAGCTGATGAGAAGCCAACGAAATAAATGATGGTACCAGATTATTCTGCACAAATCGGAGTAGTTGTACCCTAACCACCACAGTGTACAAGTTTCAGAAATGCTGAAATATTAGCGAATTGACGGTGCCTACTTATAAGTAGTAAGACAATAAATTGTAGAATTATTCAAGCAGGTGTGTAACACTGATTTATGAACATAAAAACTCTTATGTAGTGGACCAGATCATGCAACAGAACGTGGAGAACGACAAAGAGAGAGAGAGAGAACAAGCATGCGTTGCGCGTAGAAACGACTTCCAGGCTGGGGTCCTCGGGACGGTAAAAATCTATAGTTGGAAACAATCGGTGACATGGCTCAAAATCGTTCTCAGTGGCTAGCGCAGATGCATCCACTTCTTGTGACTTATGATCTCCAATGAAATTGTTTTGTTCTTCGTTATTACTATTCCCTTTGTCTCACACCTCTGTTTACTGTTTCGATTATGCTTTTCTTGTACTTTCTTCTTTTGGTTTGTGTGCTACATGGGGGAGTGTGGCGACTTGAACTGGCGCACATTTGTGCGAAGTTCTATGTCGAAAACAGACAGGCAGACAAAAGATCAGGACTTGATGGATGATTTATGTCGCATATCACACGCAAACTTGAAGATTTATAAGCAAAAATCAAGTTAGCATAAGAAACAGCAAGACCACTGGAACATTATTTAGAGAACCACTGGAAAGCCCACCTGGGAGTACTGGACAGCTGTTTCGTCCACCCTAGTTTGGGACCAATTCTTCAGCAGCACGCAGACCATTTGCCCCCCCGCCCCGGGGGATTCTAACCCAGGACCTACTATAACCAGGAGGTGATAGAATCCTCCATCCAATCACACAAAAATCCCTACAAAACGAATACTTGATAAATTAATCTGATGCTCACTTGCGACTGGCCCTATTCAAGTAGGCAGTTAACCCGAAGTTCTAGTGGGAAGCCGTGACCAGTAGGGTCTGTCTGTCTGTTTTCTACGTAGGACTTTGCATACATGTGCGCCAGTTCGAGTCGCCACATTCCACGCCTTGTATTACACAAAGCAAGAGAAGAAAGTAGAAGAAATGCATAATAGAGAGAGACAGTAATCTTCCCCATTCTGTCTGTCTGTCTGTTTTCGACATAGAACAACTTTGCACCAATGTGCACCAGTTCAAGTCACCACACTCCCCCCATGTAACACACAAACCAAGAGAAGAAAGTACAAGGAAAGCATAATAGAGACAGTAAACAGATGTATGAGACAAAGGGAATAGTAATAACGAAGAACAATGTAGTTTCATTGGAAATCATAAGTCACAAGGAGTGGATGCACCAGTAGATTTACCAGTAGGGTACAGGAGATTGAGGATGAGGCAGTATCTCATCGAAGAAGACATTGCAAAATAGTCGCGCTATGTCGGGAATTGGCAGAACTTACAATTCATGCATTGGCTGGCCATTGGATCGCGTCGCAGTGGCTGAATGGTCTTCGAGCTCACTTGGCTTATAACCAATAGGTCCTGGGTTCGAACCCTGGTGGCGGGTGCGTACTGTGGAAGAGTCAGTCCCAAACTACGCTGGCGAAACAGCAGTCCAGTACTCCCAGGTACTCCAATGGTTATATAACCGGTGTCAGCTTATGATGAAATCCTGTAACCTGTACTGTGATGAGTTTCGATGAGTTATATGGTGTTTCGATGCATTTGTGATGCACAAAACCGGCTAATTAATATATGTGCAAAACTTGAGCATTATGGTAGTAAATAATTCTATATCAGTGTGTTTATTTATCAATCTCTCCCTCCCTACACCCAATGACATTAAATTTTCAAAGTCATTTTATCCCATCCAGCCTATTGTTTAGTTATGTGTAACTGCATGTAGTGAATGGACATGTGTTACGTATGCCAAGCCATCGCCTCCCTCGACGAGCAATGTTAGCGGATATAGGGTCAGGCTGGAAAAAAGCTAGCAGCGGTCAAACAAAAACTTGGCATCAGTCAATGAAATCCACAACAGTTGGTCTAAGCCACGTAGGAAGGTGTAGACTTCCAGGCTGGGGTCCTCGGGACGGTAAAAATCAATGGTTGGAAACAATTGGTGACATGGCTCAAAATCGTTCTCAATGGCTGGCCAGTGCAGATGCATCCACTTCTTGTTACTTATGATCTTCAATGAAACTGTTTTGTATTTCTTTATTACTCCTTTGTCTCACACCTCTGCTCACTGTTTCGATTATGCTTTTCTTGTACTTTCTTCTCTTGCTTCGCGTGCTACACGGAATGTGGCGACTCAAACTTCCGCACATTTGTGCAAAGTTCTATGTCGAAAACAGACAGACAGACAGAATGGTATAGCTGAACTATTCTCCAGATTTCTTATCTTATTCGGGTCAACCAATCTAGATTTTGCTGCTAGGTTTTTATGTTCGGCTAGTTTGACTCACTGACCATATCCTCCTAGTTTGAGCTGACAATCATTGCAGGCAGGGTATTACGTTAACTAAATTGTTTTGTCTCAACGGCTCCACAGGGTTGATCCTTGCATTTAACCGACAAAGCTTGTTTCTAATTGAGTTTGTGGTTGGTTTGAATCCCAGTCAGTGTGTTTATTAGATGTATCACACACTTGTATACCTGCCCGCCTCGTTAATAATTCTGTGTAAGGTGGTTTCTGAGGTTCCTTCCTTGTATGGAATTACTACTAATGATTTCGATACCTTATTGTTGGTGTTGTCATTGTCCTGCTCATATTTGAAATGCAATTCGTCATTGTTATTATTATTATTATCAATATCGCCACTATCATTATTTATTTTATTTTAACATTTCCCTACATGCTTTCTGACTAATTTATCAGGGTAATTAATAATCAAGTTTCAAGGCTTCTCTTATATGTCTCACTTCCTGTGTTAGATTTTCCTTGGTACTACTTAGTTTTTGTGCTCTGTTGTCGTTTGAATATTTCACCAATCCTATTTTTAGTGACATAGGATGGATTTGATGATCGGAAGTTCAAATATCTGTTTGAATGTGTGGGTTTGCTGTAAACACTAGTGTTGTGATACGTCTAATAAACAAACTGATATGGAATTACTTACTACTACCACCGCCACAGTGCCCAAGTTTTTACACTTGTATTCATAATTGGTATTATTTACGATTTATATGTTGGCGGTAAGTAGACAGAATACAATGCCACAATTAACACAGTAGAAATATCCACTGATCATTTTGTTGTTTTTTTTCTCGTTTTTGTTGTCTTTGTTTTTTGTCTGCTGCTTATCAAGACCTTCACTTGAAGAAGACTATGTGGTGTCAGACAAGGCGTCGTCAGAAAAATCAAATACAGTTGCTACTCCCCCAATTGTTAATGCGACAGCTACAGACTCATCAGTTGATGTTGTTCACTCATCAAATGTTATTGCAGATGAACAGTTGTCCAACACTAATGATGAGGATAATAAAGTCGATGTAGATAAAGTCGCTGTAGATCCAGAATTTCATGATGAAGGTAAGCAAAATATTGTCATACCATTAACGGGGTTATTCGTACCCCCCTCTGAATACCTTTAATATATTATTATTGTTCCCTTGGGTTCCTAGTGGAACATAAAGCTTGAACTGCACGTCTCCACTTGTCACTTCTGTCTTCCGCTTTCCTTTTCATTTGCATCCATGTTAGTCCATACTGTGTTTCAACTCCTCTTCACACAATCTCCTCCATATCACCCTTGCACTGACGTCCCACCCGCCGCTTCCCTCTCGGGTTCCACTCGAGCAGCGGTCTGACGCGCGCGCGATGTGTCACTCAGCGAGTGTCCAACCCATCTCTTTACTTTCTACTGCATATTTGTTGGTTGGCGATTGGTTCTTTTTTTGTTTGTTCCCATAGTTTATTGTTGTCGATGATTCTTTCCGGCCCGGCCACCTGATCTTCAGTATAGAACGAAGACAGTTAGTTGTTGATAAAGGTAACGTCTGCAACAGGCTGTTGGCGGAAATATTCTTTGTGACCCACCCGCCAAGTTTCTGATCCGTATAGAAGAACTGACTGACTTGACGTTTGTATTGAAAATCCGGTCGAATTTTGTGGTTGATGCTGAGTGACGAAGATTTCCAGATTGATTTCAGGTTGATGAGTGAATGTGTTTCTCGCCTTCCCGATTCTCGCTCGATTTGACATCCTCGTCCACTCTGACTGCCTGTAGTTGAGACAATGCTCGCCTAGATTACTAGCTTGCTAGTTTTGCAGCCGGTCCCAAGCCCGGATAAAGAGGGAGGGTTGGGGCGTGGTGCTAGCAACTCCACCTCCAAAACTTAACCTAATTGCTGCAGAAACTTATACGCATAAATATATTAAAAACTTTTAATGTACTAATTTATATGTATTGTAAAAGAACCAGTATATTTCGGTTTTAAGAACACAATATTCAGCGTAGAGACTCTTTTCAACAATGAATTTATTATCAATCTGTACAACCGTATATATATGTTTTTTTAATGAAATTATATGCAGTGAGGGAGGGAATTACATCAAAGGTGTGAACATATGAAATAATAGTATTAGTAGTGTGAAATGCAATTAAAATATGTGTGGTTATAATCACAGTTAAATATCAAGTAGCGAAGCAACTAGTGTCGTATATAGAATAATCCATAAGGTGTATAGATTTTGGAAAGGGGCACATAATTATAGGATTAGTAGATGAATATAAAATGTTACATAACATGCTGTGTGAAATCTAATAAGATAGAATTCAATATTGTAAGAATAAAAAATATAAAAATTAATAATTTTAGGTTTAGAATGACAAGTGGGACAAGTGGAAACAATTCAGAGTGAAAATAGTAATAATAGTAATCGTAGTAATAAGGGAAAGGTACACAGAATAACTAAGTAAACAAAATAAATAAATAAATGTCTCCATTTAGACATTTAGAAAAGAGAAAGATTGAGCGAAGAAATATTTACTTTTCAATTAGATCCTCATCTCTGGCTCTACTCTAATATATCCATAGCATTTTAATTATAATACACAACAACTTACCAATCAAGTGGCGATATGTTTGTTAACAATAATTAGTCAGTCAGTGTCAACATGTCAACCAGTGGGGTGATAGTTAAACGAAGAAAATTAATATATATAATTAAAAGGTGGAAATGGTTAAAACACGTGGATTGCATAATGCATAATTTTGGAAAAATGAAGAGCAATTAAGGAATAAGCGTGTCTAATATATATAGCATTTTAATTACAATACACAACAATTTACCAATCAATTATTGTTAACAAACATATCGCCACTTGATTGGTAAGTTGTTGTGTATTATAATTAAAATGCTATGGATATATTAGAGTAGAGCCAGAGATGAGGATCTAATTGAAAAGTAAATATTTCTTCGCTCAATCTTTCTCTTTTCTAAATGTCTAAATAAATATCTATCCCTCTACGGCCAAGGCAGATGTAGGGATTGTACATGCTTCTTTTGTACACAAAGGTCTGGCTTAAAGACATGAATGGACAAGGCCTCCACTGTCTTTAGAAGTCTGTAACGAAGAAAACGCGGGAAGTTAGCATGGTAGATGATCTTAAAATCATGGTCAGGGTTGACAGAGTGACAGAAGTCGATCAGGTGTTCGAGAATAGAGCACTTCGCACACACTTCCTTTCGCCTTTGTAAAACCATGCTGTTGGGATATGTTTTCGTATCCGTGTGGAAAGCGGTGTCTTCTGGCTACGGCCAATGTATCTTGCTCCACAAGAGGATCAGGTGAACTGATGGATGCACATGGAGGCGACCTGACAGGGGAGCTTATTTAACCAAGTTGGCTTGGTGTTAGCGTGTACTCATCGTGGTTTTCTTATGATAGGTGGTGGTGACAAGATTAATTTTTGATGCTGAATTTTGCTATCGTTATAGGGAGTCATTTTAGCCATGATGACATAACATTTTGAAGTTGGTTAATAATAAAAGCAACAGCTTTATTAATATATGTGTAAAAAACGTGGGCACTGTGGTGGTGGTGGTAGTAAGTAATTCCATATTAATTTGTTTATTAGATGTATCACACAGTGAAACAGTATTAGTATTTACTGGATAACCTTTACTGGAACCTCGGAAACCACCTTATGCAGAATTCTTAACAAAACGGGCAGGAAAAAATGTGACCGCTGTTCAAACCAACCACAAACTCAATTAGAAACAAGCTTTTGTCGGTTACAGGATCAGTTCTGTGGAGTCTTTAAAACAAAACAATTTAGTTTATCTAAAATACCCTGCCTGCCTGGAATGATTGTCAGGTCAAATGCATAGATGGTTGAAACTAGTAGAACAGCGGCAGTGAGTAGTCAGACTAGCCGAGCATAAAAACCTACGAAAATCTACAAACCTAGCAGCAAAATCTAAGGGACTTGACGGGAATAAGATAAAACATCTAGAGAATAGTTCAGCTATAGCACTCACTGCATGCATTTACACGCAACTTTACAATAGGCTAGATGGAATAAGATGACATTTTTGAAATCTGTCACAGGGTGGCGAATGGCCACTGAGAGTGGAAGACATGAAAAGACTAGCTGTCTTTGATCATAGGTGCCTGCGCTCTATTTCCCGTGTAAAGTGGCATAATAAGGTGAGCAATATTGAGGTTAGGCGTCGAGTTCTAGGTAAACAGGGGAAATCAATCGACGAAGTTGTAAAGTAACAAAGACTGAGATGGTTAGGACATGTGTTACGTATGCCTGGTCCATCGCCTTCCTCGACTAGCAATGTTAGCGGATGTAGGGTCAGGCTGGAAAAAAGCTAGCGGCGGTCAAACAAAAACTTGGAACCAGTCAATGAAATCCACAACAGTTGGTCTAAGCCACGTAGGAAGGTGTAGACTTCCAGGCTGGGGTCCTCGGGACGGTAAAAATCAATGGTTGGAAACAATTGGTGACATGGCTCAAAATCGTTCTCAATGGCTGGCCAGTGCAGATGCATCCACTCCTTGTGACTTATGATCTCCAATGAAACTGTTTTGTTCTTCGTTATTACTGCTCCTTTGTCTCACACCTCTGTTTACTGTTTCGATTATGCTTTTCTTGTACTTTCTTCTTTTGGTTTGTGTGCTACATGGGGGGAGTGTGGTGACTTGAACTGGTGCACATTGGTGCAAAGTTGTTCTATGTCGAAAACAGACAGACAGACAGAATGGGGAAGATTGGTGACAGAAGCTTTGTTTATCGAATCAACTGAAACGGGGAATACGTGTAATAATAGGAATGATTCAACACCTGTGTGCAGCTGGACATCCGAAAAATTCTACTACTCCAATGACGATGACAAATAGGAGAGGACAAAGAAAACTATAAAACTGAAGTTTTGAATTCGTGTGATGATATAATTCATGAAATGGTTATGAACAGCAATAATGAATTGTGTTCGAAACTTTGTCATTCACTAAGCAATACTTATACTTTTGTAAAAAATTATATTTGTAAAATCTTAGCGATATTGAAATGAGTAATTCCAACGTTTCGTTCGGCAATCTGGTCCGAACTTCTTCAGGGAAATTAATCGAAATTAACATAACAGAGGTTTATATATAAAAGGAACATCTCTTAGTTTTAAAAACTTTGTCCAATCATGAGTCATAAAACAAGTATTCACAAGTATAATAAACAAAATTGTATGAGTTGTGATCAAAATTTGACCTCAGACTTACAAATTGAAATATTGATCTACCTTTGTTAAACACTTTAAACACAGTGTCTATGTGTGCGGATAAACAGTTGTAAAACAATATCCGTAGCTGTCCAGTCAACTGACAACTCCAGTAGGTCGAATAAATCAGCTCAATTTTCAGAAAGAAGACAAAGTAATAAGTTTCACGGGGTTGTTCAACTAAACTCTAATCCTAAACACCATAATTTTGAAAATACGTCTAATCATAAGATTCTAGATACTAACAGTTTGAACAGACATGAAGGTGTGATGTTAGATGACGCATAGGAAATCCTGATTAATAAATAAGAATGGATATGTATCACTAACTAATAATACTTGATCAAAGTTCCTGACTGTCTATATCTACTTATGGCGACGTTAAGACATTGTTTTACAACTGACAAAAAAGCTGTTCAGTACTTTCAGGTTTTCCAATGGTTCTCTAACCAATGTCAGCTGATGATGAAATCCTGTAACCAATCAAATCCGTCTGCCTGTCTGTTTTCGACATAGAACAACTTTGCACCAATGTGCACCAGTTCAAGTCACCACACTCCCTCCATGTAGCACACAAACCAAGAGAAGAAAGTACAAGAAAAGCATAATAGAGACAGTAAACAGAGGTGTGAGACAAAGAAGGAGTAATAACGAAGAACAAAACAGTTTCATTGGAGATCATAAGTCACAAGAAGTGGATGCATCTGCACTGGCCAGCCATTGAGAACGATTTTGAGCCATGTCACCAATTGTTTCCAACCATTGATTTTTACCGTCCCGAGGACCCCAGCCTGGAAGTCTACACCTTCCGTTGGCATCGGCTGATGGTACTTCCCAAATAAGTGAAGCGGTCAACGTGCTCTGCCACTTCACTCCCTATTTCTAATCTAGGAGTCGCTGCAGTCCAGTCCTGTAACATCATCTTGCATTTGGCGGGAGCAAATCGCATGTCAAACATTCGTAGATTTCAGCTCAAGGTGTTCAGAGGACTCTGCATTTTGTCAGAGTTGTCGCCTAGGAGGACTATATCGTCTACATATTCTAAGTCAACGAGATCAAGTCCGTACAAACCAACATTTGAATATCGATGAGATGCCGGTCACTGGCGACTGGCCCTATTCATGTAAGTAGCAGTCGTGAGCAGTGTAGGGTGCAGCAGGTTGGGGGTCGGGTGTGAGGAGAAATACTCGCTGAAGACATTGGCTAGTGCCAGTCGCACTATGTCGTGAATTGGCAGAAGTTAGAATTCATGCGATAACCATTGTATCGAGTCGCAGTCCGATAAACTTTTCTTTTGTAATTTTTGCTCATACTTTTTTGAAGAACATTGCCAGTTCAATTGATATCCAACCGTGTACTAACTGGTATTTTTCTAATTTTCTCTTTATCATATATATATATATATATATATATATATATAATATTCACTTGTAGTTCCTGAGGCGCTAGTCTATGTTAAGCCAGAAGACAAGGCATTTCCTACACATGTACCATACATTATTGTTGGCGCTGGTGCTGCAGGGATGTCAGCGGCTCGTTCAATTCGCGCTTCCGATCCAACCTCAAGAGTTTTATTGATTGCTGGTGGTAGTGGTGGATCAGGCGGATTATCTGAGCCGGGGATCGAAGAAACCTCTTATGTAGAGCCACCTCCGTATTTAAGACCACCATTGAGTAAAGAATTGTGGAATCGGACGTCGAGCAAAGAAAAAAAGCTGCTACGCAGTGATGGAGATATACGTCGACACTCTTGGCTCTACTATGAACCGGATAGTTTCTTTTTAAAACCAGAAGAGTAAGCTTTTTGAGCACTTTCTTCCCCCTGCATTCTTTTGTGGTAGTAAAATGTATATAATTGAATTTTAGATTTTTTTCCCATTGATTGATTGGACCGAAGTGCTCCTTCCAGTGCTAAGGTTGACGTGTTTGTTGGCTTCTTGTACAGATGTTTTGACGATGTCTGGGCACTAGATTTAAAAGTGAATTGGTGGATGGTGACTAGCAGTGGAATCCAGTCCAGGATAACGCGCATTTCGTCCTATTTGGGACTCGTCAGCGGGAAAATCTGAAATTCAAATAAATTAATATGACCCATTGCACAAGAAGTGGGGTGGCTATCGTGGCCCAAGTAGTCTAGTGGATAACGCTTTGAATGATGTTTGAAACTATGGGCACTGGGTTGGAGCCTCGGTGGTGATGGGAACATCGTCATTGACTCACTGGGGAATGCAGGTACATCGAGCCAGCTGACAAGTCCCGAATAGTATGAACGAAATGCAAGCTATCCTGGATTGGATTCCACTGCTAGTCACCATCCATCAGTTAATCAGTGAAATGTAGCTTAGAATAATGATATGAGATTATTTCGCTATATGGCAAAAAAAGGATATGCTTCCTTAGTTACTTCAAAAGGTATTACTGTTAACCGAAGTCTATCTCTCTGTTTTGGACATAGCACTTTGCACCGCTGTGCACCAGTTCCAGTCGCCACACTCCCCCCATGTAGCACACAAAGCAAGAGAAGAAAGTAAAAAGAAGCGCCTAATAGAGACAGCAAACAGAGAGTTGAGACAAAAGTTAGTAACAACGAAGAACAATATAGTTTTATCGGAAACCATAGTTCACAATGTGGATGCATCTGCGCCAGGCATTGAGAACGATTTTGAGCCAGCCATATCACTATTTGTTTCCAGCCATTGGTTTTTACCGTCCCGATGACCCTAACCGGGAAGCCAGTCTACACCTTCCGACGGGGCTTAAACTAACTGTTGTGACTGGTGAAGCCATGTTTTGGTGTGACGGCCGCTGGCTAGATCTTTTCCAGCCTGACCCTATGTCAACCAGCTAACATTGCCTGTCAGTCGTGGAAGGCGATGACTAGGCATCCGTGCGTAACACATGTCCTAACCATCTCACTCGCAGCCTCGTCGATTGATTTCCTCTCATTACCTAGCACTTCACCCCTAACTTTAACCGAAGAGGATGTGTAGGGCACTTTTTTGATCTCAATACTAGTTTGTCATCTTATAGTATATAATACACATGAAAGACTAACTATCAAAACAGGAATTGCGTTCTTCAGGTTATGAATAACATCTTATCTGATTAACACAGGCTGTTTTCTAACTAAGTAACTAACTAAGCAAGTAAATTTCAACATAGGACTTAGCATAGAAGTGCGGCAGTTCGATTTGCCACACTCCATGTAACATACAAAGCAAGTGAAGAAGAGATTAAAGAACATAAGAATTTAGCTAAGGTGTAAGAATGGTTGACCCCACCCGAGAAGATAAGTAATTTAGAAAAAAGCTCACCAGTACATTGCACTGTATGCATTAACACACAACCGTACAATAGATTGGTGGGTGGGAGAGGGTTGACATTCTCAGAAGTAATCTATGTAGGTGGAGAGAGAGAGACTGATAACTGAATCCTGCCTGGTTCATCGAGTCTACACACCCAACACAACACAACACATACAACAGAAATGACTCAATGCAAATACTAGAGATATGTATAGAAGACATTATTACCACCAGTCAGTCAATTAGTCAGCCAGTGAAATCAGAGGAGGATAATAAATAATCTCAAATTGTATTCTATTTCAATTCAATTCACGTGCATCATCACAACATTCTAACAAGTTACTCACTTATTTTGACTATATAATAAACACTCATCTTGTTTCCCATCTGATTGTACTTGATCAGTAACACTCATTATTATTATTTCTGAATGTACATTATCCCATATTACTGATTTGTATTCAAATGTCTAATCATGAATTCCACTCATGTGTATATAAATGAAGGAAACAAGAAAGTTGTGTGAGTGAGTGATTGAGTGACTTGATATGATTATGTATGAGTGGGAATAATAATAAATTGTGCTCGAAATGGCGTGTGGTCGGATCAGTTAATATTACTTACTGTATAAGAAACACTTCACTACATTGTGTGTGACAGTTTATCAAAATAAAATCTTATCCATAATGGAGTAGTTATAATCTACCGCCACACAGTGACCAAGTTTTATACTTATATCAATTAGAATTAAGAGAACTTGAAAAGATAGAAATAATAAACAGAATAAAAACCTAGCGAAATCTAGATTGGTTGACCCGAATAAGATAAGAAATCTGGAGAATAGTTCAGCTATACCACTCACTACCTGCAGTTACGCATAACCAAACAATAGGCTGGATGGGATAAAATGACTTTGAAAGTTTAATGTCATTGGGTGTAGGGAGGGAGAGATTGATAACAACGGAAGCTTTGTTTATCGAATCAACTGCAAATACGTATATTAAGAATGATTCAACGCCTATCCAGCCAGATATCAGAGTAGTTATGAAGTTTCAAAGCTTCTTTTATATGTATCACTTCCTGTTTAAGATTTACCTTGGTACTACTTAGTTTTTGTGCTCTGTTGTCGTTTGAATATTTCACCAATCCTATTTTTAGTGACATAGGATGGATTTGATGAACGGAAGTCCAAATATCTGTTTGAATGTGTGGGTTTCGTGTAAACACACACGCACTAGCCTGTTTAACTTTCCATCTTCTTTTCGTTTTACACTGCAATCTAACATTTGAAGCTTCGTATCAACAAACATAAGCTAGCTGTCAAAAGACATGACATCCACTCCCTCACTTACTCATATCGCCTCACTAGACACAGACAACCACGGACATCAATTCGACTGGGACAACCAACCAACGTTCAAATATTAGACAGACACAGGAATCAACACCGAGAATGCTAGAGAAATTTTAGAAGCCTACCTGATATTCCAATGAATCATCAGTCAATAGGCACATCCAGATAGACAAAATCTACCAATCAATAATAACGGAACTTCACACACAAAGGGTGAAAGTTCAAGTCAAAGAAACAATCAGTTCCAATACATGTAGCCTGTTGTCTGTCTGTTTTCTAAATAGAACTTTGCATATATGTGCGGCAGTTAGAGTCGCCACATTCCACTCCTTGTATTACACAAAGCAAGAGAAGAAAGTAGAAGAAATGCATAATAGAGAGAGACAGTAAACAGATATGTGAGACAAAGGAATAGTAATAACGGAGAACAATGTAGTTTCATTGTAAATCATAAGTCATAGGGAGTGGATGCATCTGCACCCATCATTGAGGACGATGAGTTTGAGCTATATCACCAATTGTCTCCAGCCACCGTCATTGGTTCTTACCATCCCGAGGAGCCTAACCAAGAAGCCAGTCTACACCTCTTTAACTTGGATCAAACCGACAGCCAGACTCTATGGATTGATGTCATGTTTTAGTTAGTGTTTGACCACTTTCTAATCACCAAAAATATCTATTGAATCACGAAGAAGATAAAAGACGGATTCTGCGAAGAAAATTTTTTTTATCGACGAAATCTTTTCTTTAAAGCCGAAATCAGGTAGGTTTCGGCTTTTGTGTAGTCTGTATACAGACAAAAAGTTTGTCCAGTCTCTTATTCTACCGTGGTCTGAAACTGTTTACTAAGCGTTCCCTGTAGAAAATTTTGATTTTTTTCTTTTACTTTTAGCTTGCTTTTGCTTTAATAATTAATTCACTATTATATCACTCTTGAAAACAACATCCTTGATCCCTTGATAAATAAACTGCACTTATACAAGAGATATGTAGATGATACGTTTATAATCTGTGATGTAAAATGTGATTTAGATTCTCTCCTGAAAACATTCAACGCAGCGCATCCATTAATAAGATTCACCTTAGAACGCGAATCGAACAACACATTTCTATTCCTCAATGTATTACTCACCAGAAGAGACGACTGTACGATCCAAAGATCGATATACCGTAAGCCAACATGGATTGGACAGTTTATCAACTTCCAGAGCTTTGTTCCACTGACCCGAAAGAGAAACTTGGTATGTACATTGTGATCAAGGATTAGAAAAATCTGCTCGGAAGACACGGTGGAGAAAGAATTAAATTTATTGTGTGAAACCATACTAGAGAATGGGTATCCGCCAAGATTCATCGACAAAAACATGAAGGAGAAGCTTCCGGTGTCAAATATCACAACGGTTCCTAAGAAGACTCTCTTCATAAACCTAGAATTCAAAGGTGACATCGTAGCGGAAATTCTCAGAAACTGCCTTTCAAAAAGTCTGAAGAAGACATTCCTATCAGCCACTCTACGTATAACATTCTCCTGCAGACAGTTAATCCAGTCTAACGTTAAGGACAAGATACCGCCGCTTTTGGCCACTTCAATATGTATTCATCAATTTACTTGCTCGTGTGGAGCAAAGTACATCGGCCGTACGCAACGTCAACTCCACAAACGTATCCTGGAACACTGCCCAGCTTGGTTAGCCAGAGAAGAAAAGAAGAGTAGCAACAGCTCAATCCTCGAACACCTTGTTATCTCCGGACATCGAGCACCCCTACACGAATGCTTCACAGTGGTACACAGAGTCCCTCAATATCGTACAAAAGGACTCCGGATACGACATCTGTACATAGCTGAGGCATTAGCTATTCGTCGTGACCTAAAACCGGACCTATGCATACAAAAACGATACATACATTCTCTAGCCCTACCATGGCCAGAGTAAATTTCTTACTATCATTTTTCTCCTCTTTTAATGTGTAGGTTCACTATTATTTAGTATTATTATTATTATTACTGTTCTTAATACTTTTATTATTATTACTATTCCCACCATCCACATTTTATTACCACTCTATTACTGTTTATCAATAACATTCCTTTTTCACACAGATCTTATACAAAACTACTTTATAGCCTTTCCACTAGTTCCTGTCCATTCTACATAATCTTAATGATTAGTCATTATCTCACACTTATTACGTCATGCCAACTCCTGTCTCCTTTCTATAACTTACAATTAGTCATCCCTTCTTGAACCTCACATTATGTAGTAGAATTTTCAAGTACAAAGTTTACCAGTATCTGATTGGTCAAAAAATAACTTCTGTGTTTAATTATAATTACGATTGTACAGCGCAGCTCATGAAAATGAATCGTCCAAAAAGGGAAAATTTCCTTCGCTGTTTGTGCCTTTTTCTTATAACTCAATATGGGAATATTTCGTTTATAATCACTCTCATATGTTCCTTGTTGTACATTTTCACACTCACTAAACTGATACTCAACTACCACCTTTATTCTTTCTCTCTCATTAGGAATTTTAACCTTGTCAAATTTCTATGCTTGTTCCGTTGAGTACCACATAATTTTCAACTCTTAAGTTATTTTTTTTTATTTCTAAAGCTTTATCTGAGTAATTATATCAATTGTGTAACCCCCCCCCTATTACTCAATAATAGACCACTGTCAAATTCTTTGCCAGCTTCTAGTCCTTTTGTCCATTGAAGAAGGCGACGGTGGTGTGGCATGTGCAATACAACACCACCTCCTAGCAGCCATCTTTAATACTACTTATCCGATATGAGTAGGTTTCGTTCATGTCCCCTTTTCGCATTTGCCAGTTTACACCCGACTCTAGCGTAGACGAGATGTTCGACTGTCGACCAAAGGGCGGGTGTACTGCTCATCAGTCCGCTCCGTCCTCCTTTATGGCTGGGAGACCTGGCCACTGAGAGTGGAAGACATGAAAAAGCTAGCCAACTATTTGATCATAGGTGCCTGCGTTCTATCTCCCGTGTAAAGTGGCATAATAAGGTGAGCAACATGGAGGTTAGGCGTCGAGTTCTAGGTAAACACGGGAAATCAATCGACTAAGTCGTGAAGTAACAAAGACTGAGATGGTTAGGACATGTGTTACGTATGCCTGGTCCATCGCCTTCCTCGACAAGCAATGTTTGCGGGTGGCACCAGTCAATGAAATCCACAACAGTTGGTCTAAGCCACGTAGGAAGGTGTAGACTTCCAGGCTGGGGTCCTCGGGACGGTAAAAATCAATGGTTGGAAACAATTGGTGACATGGCTCAAAATCGTTCTCAATGGCTGGCCAGTGCAGATGCATCCACTCCTTGTGACTTATGATCTCCAATGAAACTGTTTTGTTCTTCGTTATTACTCCTCCTTTGTCTCACACCTCTGTTTACTGTTTCGATTATGCTTTTCTTGTACTTTCTTCTCCTGCTTTGCGTGCTACACGGAGTGTGGCGACTTGAACTGGTGCACATTTGTGTAAAGTTCTATGTCGAAAACAGACAGAGACAGAGATGTCCCCTTTTTGATCCTTTAGTTAAATGTAATGTAATGTTGATTGTGTAAAAATCCACATTAAGTTTACCCAACCGATAGCTGCTACCTTGACGTGGTGTTCGAGCTTGCACATCGCGATGACCCAACACTGGCTACACTGGCTGGAACAAATGCTACTGTAGGTGCTACCATGCCAGGAAGGTTGTTAGGATAGGGATTAGACTAAAAGTAGCTACCGGCATTGTGACGAATCTTTCTTACACTATGCTGGGGAGTCTGAGGGCGAAGTCGTACTGCTTGGGAACAGGGGTGTAACAGCCACAGTGAGGTGTTTCCCTCAGATGACCAGCATGCCAGCCAGCTATGCTGTCTCTCCGCTCTGGAAGGAGGGGGTTAGAAAAGGTCAATCCCGAAAATTGTACATCCTGACTTACCACCCTAGGGTGGTCCGTAACAGGCGGTAAGTTTACTAATACGGAACCAATCCCAGAAACCAGTTCATACAGGGCGTGTGTGACTGGTCGGCATCAACCAGCTGTCCTCTGGACTCTGCGGTCACGCAACACTAATCCTCACTCTGTTTTGGGTACGCGGAGAATTAATCAACTTCCATGGTGTGTGCAGCCGGGAAGTAACAACCGCCCACACACTTCCAAAAGCACACTACATTAAGTTCAATTGTGTTTTAATCATTCTATACATTTGTTTATTGTTTTTGTCTTCGCGTTAACAGTTTAAATGCTGTACAATATGGTGGAGTGGCTTTAGTTCGAGGAGATCCAGTAGTTCGTCTAGATCCTGACAGACATATAATCTTTTTGGCGTCTGGTCGCCAAATCACTTACGATCGATGTCTTTTAGCTACCGGTGGCACACCAAAACGTTTAAAGGATCTAGAAATATGCAGTCGAACTGGAGTAGATCTGACTGATACTGGACATGTCTCGTATTTCCGTAATTTGGCAGATTACAGGTAGGTGAGAAATGTTTGTTTTTCCCCGTATTTTTTCCTAACATCTGCTTCAAAGTCGATTTTTTATTCATGAATGGCTTATTTTAATTTTCGCCGATTCTGATTTCACTGAGTAAAAAATCTTTTCACTATCTAATTGCCAGCTGGGTCTCACAAAAATTTTAGGATACACCCTCCCCCCGAAGATACGCTTTTATAGATAGGTTTAAAAGATGTGTTGGTTAACGTCAATTTTATGTCCAATCTCCTCTGTAATATGTTTCGCAATAGAGGAGCTCGCTTGTCGTCTGTTCTAACCATTAATGCGTTCTGAAGATCCCATTTGTTTCTGGAGCCATTTTGGGAATATGCTCTGAAACCAGCCAGCCAGTCCTTACTTGCAGAGACCGATGAGTCTTCCTTATACATGTATGTGAATTCGAATTAGTAAATACAGTGGGGTGTGACATCATTTTTCTCATGTTCAAAGGGCTTAGATTGATGGATGAATATATTGGCTTCACATTTTCAATTACTATTATGATATCAGCTGCATAAAAAGTCTTTTAAACCACAACGGCGTTCAATCTTTGTCTAGTTATCAAGCTGCTATGATGATCCGCCCATACAGGGTAGCTTGATGTGTATGTCTTTCTTAGGGGCGAGTTGTACAGTGGGTATGGTGTCCTGACTACTTCATATCTCCTGATGAGCTTGTCTGGATAACTGTTATCAACCAGAGTTTGTGTCAATATTCTTTCTTCTTCATCAAGTGTGTCTTCAGTGCATATTCGTCGAATTCTGCTGAAGAGGCACCTTACTAAGCCTCTTTTGTACCGAATAGGGCAGAAACTGTGGTAATTAAGATACTGTCCTGTCCAGGTAGGTTTTCTATAAATAGATCTTTTTATTGACCCATCAAGCCATCGGCTAAGCAATATGTCTAGGAAAGATAAACAATTATCTTCCTCTTCTACGTGATGTAAGTGATATGCTATTCTGAACTTCGTTCATTCGATTTAAAATTGAGGTGGCAGAACAAGGCTTATCACTGATGACTACGATATCATCTACATACCTTCTATAAAGTGGCACATTTTCGATTAAATCTTCCGATAAATTCTGAATGTATGACATATAAATATCTGCTAAAAGGGGCCCTAACGGACTATCCATAGCAACACCATCAACTTGGCGGAAACAATCGCCTTCAAATGTAAACCTAACATTGTTAGTACATAGAAGTAATAAATCCTTTAAGTAAGATATAGGGAACGGGATGAAAAAATTGTTTGTGGAAATGTGATCACACAAAACGTCAGCTGCTTTGATCAAAGGCACATTAGTAAATAACGAGTTTACATCAAAATAGTACATATTCTTGTTCATAATATTAATATCATCAAGAACATCAACCAATTCAAATGTACCTTTAAACACATACTTACAGAATTGTGTTTTGACTGGATTCAATAATTCCACTAACCATTTAGCAAGTTTTTGCGTTGGGGATTAGCACATTGACAATATAGGACGTAGAGGATTATTGGGTTTATGTAGTTTTGGCAAGCCATACATATGCGGGAATTCACATTCTGATGGTTTTAAAGAGTCAAATTTATCTTTACTTATAGCATTTAGGCCATGAAGCTTCAGTAGATTAGCTGTAACTGTGCCCTGCAACAACTGAATATCTTCTGAGGAGAGATCAAGACTAAATTTGCTTTTATCATTAAGAATAGACATTATTTTAGATTTGTAGTCACTTTTATTCATAATTATATATTAGAATTTTCCCTCAGCTCTTTCAAGGCTTTGAGATGCTGGAAAGTTAAAATACTCTTCTCCTTTGGGTTGTTGTTTAAAAACTGGTGAGCTATATCCACCATCTTGGCCTTAAGCCAACCCTGATCTTCATCGGATGTTGCGGCAAGAGGTTTGAGTTGGTCGTATAAGTTTTCAAACTCAACATTGATGGCCAAATCCGTATATTGTGTGCGAGGAACACAAAATTTGAGTCCAAAGGATAGAGCTTCTTTTTATCAGGAGACCTGGCTCTTCTATCGCGAAACATATTACAGAGGAGAAGGGACATAAAATTGATGTTAACACATCTTTTAAATCTATCTATAAAAGCGTGTTTGGGTGAGGACGTATCCTAAAGTTTGTGGAAGCTAGCCGTAGCTGTCTGTCTGTTTTCGACATAGAACTTTGCACAAATGTGCGGAAGTTCAAGTCGCCACACTCCGTGTAGCACGAAAAGCAGGAGAAGAAAGTACAAGAAAAGCATAATAGAAACAGTGAACAGAGGTGTGAGACAAAGAAGGAGTAATAACGAAGAACAAAACAGTTTCATTGGAGATCATAAGTCACAAGGAGTGGATGCATCTGCACTGGCCAGCCATTGAGAACGATTTTGAGCCATGTCACCAATTGTTTCCAACCATTGATTTTTACCGTCCCGAGGACCCCAGCCTGGAAGTCTACACCTTCCTACGTGGCTTAGACCAACTGTTGTGGATTTCATTGACTGGTGCCACCCGCAAACATTGCTTGTCGAGGAAGGCGATGGACCAGGCATACGTAACACATGTCCTAACCATCTCAGTCTTTGTTAATTCTCGACTTCGTCGATTGATTTCCCCTGTTTACCTAGAACTCGACGCCTAACCTCAATGTTGCTCACCTTATTATGCCACTTTACACGGGAAATAGAACGCAGGCACCTATGATCAAATAGTGCTAGTCTTTTCATGTCTTCCACTCTCAGTGGCCAGGTCTCACAACCATAAAGGAGGACGGAGCGGACTGATGAGCAGTACACCCGCCCTTTGGTCGATAGTCGAACATCTCGTCTACGCCAGAGTCGGCGTAAACTAACAAATGCGAAACGAGCCCCTTGTATTCGTGCTGAGATTTCGTCAGAGATCAGCCCGTTGGGGCTGATGGTACTTCCCAAATAAGTGAAGCGGTCAACGTGCTCTACCACTTCACTTCCTATTTTTAAACTAGGCGTCGATGTAGTCCAGTCCTGTAACATCATCTTGCATTTGGCGGGAGCGAATCGCATGCCAAACATTCGTAGATTGCAGCTCAAGGTGTTTAGAAGACTCTGCATTTCGTCAGCGTCTTCGCCTAGAAGGACTATATCGTCTGCATATTCCAAGTCAACGAGATTATTCCCCGGTAGCAAGTCAATCCCTGAGTCACTGAAGTCACCTAGGGTTAAGTCCATTAACACATCTATGATGAAGTTGAATAGAAAAGGAGATAATGGGCATCCTTGACGGACACCACTGGTCGTCATCAGTTCAGATGACAGCTCGCCGTAAGCCCTCACCTGGCTGTATGAGTACGAGTAGAGTGCCTTAATCAGTGCAATATATTTTCTTGGAATTCCCTTTACAGCCAAGCATCTCCAGAGAACTTCCCGATCGACAGAGTCGAATGCTGCCTTTAGGTCAAGAAATATAATGACTGTTGGACGCCGGTAGGAATGCCTATGTTCTAGAATCTGTCGGAGGGTGAAGATATGATCAATACACCCTCTTCCTGGTCTAAAGCCTGCCTGGCTCTCTCGTGTTTGTGCTTCCCGAGCACCACTCAGTCTACGCATGATTATTGAGCCTAAGACTTTAGATACTATATTAGTCAAGCTAATCCCTCTGTGATTATCACAGGAAGACTTGTCTCCCTTCTTGTATATGGGGATAATCAGTGACTTACACCAACCCGATGGGACTTCTTCTGATTCCCAGACGCTGCCTAGTACCTCAGTTAATCCGGACAGTAAGCTGTCTCCACCGTACTTAAATACCTCTGGAGTCATTCCATCAGGTCCCGCTGCTTTGCCTAGTTTCAGATTGGTGACAGCTTTAGTAACCTCAGTTAGGGACGGAGGACCTGTGTCTATATCCCATTCAGGGAGGTGTTGGATGCTCGGAAGGTTGAGCGTGGCTGTGGGCAAATTAAACTGCTCCTCATAATGCTCTTTCCAACGATCCAGTCGTCTATCCTGGGAGCTAATTATAGTGCCATTTTTTTCCGAGATTGTCTCACTGATGATTTGTCTTCTCCCACCCGTAGCTGGCGCTTAGGAAGTTCAAACCACCTTTATGCGTTCAGAAGAAATCTTTTCAGTACACTATTCCGTGAAGTGTTAACTTTGAAACCTCTGCGTTGAAGAGTTTCGTTCAACTCCCGCAGTATGAACTGCAATTTAAGCATATTCATCATTCACAGCTCATTGGTTACTTACATGGAGTGCGTAAAAATGCGATATGACTGACTGACTGACTGTTTTCAACATAGAACTTTGCACAGATGTCCAGCAGTTCGAGTCTCTTCCCTCCATGTAGCACACAAAGCAAGGGAAGAGAGTAAAGAGAGTTTTGAAAGAGAGAGATCTAATAAACAGAAGCGTGAAGGAAAAAGGAATAGCTATGTGGAAGAACTATATAGTTTTATTGGATATTATAAGTCACAAGGAGTGGAGATGCATCTGCGCCGGGCATTGCGAACGATGAGTTTGAGCCATATCACCAATTGTTTCCAGCCTATATGACTGATGTAAACTAACGGTTGTGGATTTCATTGACTGGTGGTGATGCCATGTTTAGGTTTGACCAATACATGCTCTTTTCCAGTCTGACCCTATGTCAGCTAACATCGCCCGTTGTCGAGGAAGGTGATGTCTACGCAGGCGAACGTAACACTTGCCCTAATAATCTCAAATGATGTAACCTCAAAGTGTCGTCGATTGATTTCCCCTCCCACCTACCTAGCACTCAACCGATGCCTAACCTCAATATTGCTCAACCTATTATACCACTTTACACAGGAGGGAGATAAAACGCAGGCAACTATGATCAAAGACTATCTGGCTAGCCTTTTCATGTCTTATACTCTCAGTGACCATGTCTCATAGCCAGCCATAAAGGAGGATGGAGCGGACTGGTGAGCAGTAGTACACACGCCCTTTGATCAAAAATCAGCCGGATATATCACGTATACTAAGCCAGAGATGGTGTAAATTGGCATATGTCAAGCGAGCCTTCTGTATCCGTAACTAGCTAAGATTTCATCAGCAATCAACCTGTTGGTGTTGGTTGATGCAACTCTCCAAACAAGTGAAGTGGTCAACACGCTCTACCACTTCACTTCCTATTTCTAAGCTAGGAGTCAATGTAGTCCAATTCTCTAGCATCATCTTAAATTTGACGAGAGCGAGTCATCTATAAGAGTAGCTAAAGCACTGGTGATCTAAAGCACTCAAGCCTACTATGTGTCCAAAAAAAAATATGTTCAACCGTTATCCCTACCGTGGTCATCATGAATAAATCAGTCTCACCAATAATGATTATCTTATTACCTTTCTTCCATCAAATTTTCCCGTTTATTTCTATTATGTTTACCTTTTTAAACCCCTCCATATCTGCATTATTTGCATCGGTGGCACAGCGGTTAGGACTCTCGCCGACAATGCACATGGTCCGGGGACCGATGACCCCCTGCCGACGCACACCTGATATTTTATGGTCGGTCTGCAAAATTTGGACTACCGATATCACACGCTGAAAATTCCATATATGTACCAAAAAATACGGTGTGGAGTCAAGCTGTAATCAAAAACGAAAAAAAATTTAAAAAATTATTAGATTTCATACGAACTGTGATCAAGATTTGATCGGATAGTTGCAAAATAATTGAGCGCTGAGTGAGAAGTAGACATTTATAAAGTTATATTTGTAAAATCTCAGCGAAATTGAAATGATTAATTCCAACGTTTCGTTCGGAAATCTGGTCGGAACTTCTTCAGGGAAATTAATCGAAATTAACATAAGAAAGTTTATATATAAAGGGACACATCTTGTTTTTAAAATTCTTGTCCAATCATGAGTCATGTAACAGTTATCAATATGATTGGACAAGAATTTTAAAAACAAGATGTGTCCCTTTATATATAAACTTTCTTATGTTAATTTCGATTAATTTCCCTGAAGAAGTTCCGACCAGATTGCCGAGCGAAACGTTGGAATTAATCATTTCAATTTCGCTGAGATTTTACAAATATAACTTTATAAATTATCAGATTTGTTTACTGTTTTTATCTTTATATGTCCGAACTTCCTCCCTAGGATTTCGTGAATACTACATCTTTAACTGTAATTACACAAACTGACGAGTTTTCCAGTAATTATAATCCTATTTTGTCTTTTCTACACGATCTTCCTTATTTATTACACATTGGAACTTTTTAATTTGACCTTTGACCTGAAATATTTCTAGAATAGTACGACTACTACTACTACTGCCTATCTTCTGTTTATTACACTTAGTAATTTGAATCGAGTCCCCAGTGAGTGGCTTGTAAAATGGTCTACGAGCTCGCACGCTAGTCTTGTAACCAGAAGGTCCTGTGTTGTTGTTCAAACCCTGGTGGTAGGTGCATACCGTCGAAGAGTTCCAAACTAGGCTGACAAAACAACTTACTTTACTTCGGCTATCTCCTTCGGGAGGATGAGCCGGCTTCATGAACACATCTCGAATCATCGCTGCCCAGGCGCGGCGATCTGATGCAAGGTTTTTCCACGACTGGGTTATCCAATTCTTGTTGCACAGACGGAGTCCGTTGACGGTTTGTAGCCCCAGCCCAGTCACTCCATATCAGCCTTGACTGACTGTACCAAGCCATGTTTTCAGCGAGTTCATGAAGTTTCATGGGAATAAGGTACGAGTGATGTCCCCAGAATCGCTCGGCCTTTTGTTTTGAGAGTGCAGCTCTAGCCTTTACACAACCAAGTGTGACCTACAAGGCAGTAGGAGTAGAGTAGGGAGTCGACTATCCATTGTCAGCCAGCCGGTGACCGGAGTCCGATTCATACGCCTTTTTGAATGGGGCCAGACATGCACCAGGGCATCCAACAAGCCCTTTGTCCATACGTCTGACGGTGAGCTCCGGTGAGCTTCATACGCCAGTCGTTGGAGGTTTGGAATCAGGCAGTGTTTAGCCATCTCCCCTAGACTTTCATCCAATGGACAGTCAACCCGGTGAAGAGCGCCGGGCATCAGCTCATGATGAAACTGTATAACTTAGTAATTTTATTAATCTGACCTATGATCGGAAAGAATTCTGTAACTTTTTCACACATTTAATATAAATAATACACGAATGTACAGCCTAGGTGATAGCGACTTCGTCGAAAAGATAAGATTTTCTTCCTTGCTGCAACCGTCTTTTTTTTTAAATAATTCCTATAAGACGTTTTAAACAAAGATGTTTTTTTAAATTTTTAATTCATACATTCTGTACTTTACAATATTACTGTGTATGTAATCCACCTGTCTGTTTTCGACTGAATCCCATCTAAAATTACTTTTAGAAGAACATAACACAACAACAACACCTGCTTAAGTGAACAATATTGTTGTTTTCAATTAGATCTCATCATCATCAGGCTTAACTCTAATATGCACCTGCATAACTTTACAAATAAAAATTCAAATATAAACCAATCACCATGGTGTTTTGTCTATAGGTGGTGATAAGATGGTGAATATAAATTGTGAGGTTAGTCATAATAATAATAATAGTGACAATAATGGTTTCATCAATAATAAGGATAGAAAATTGACGTATTCTACTAGACAGCTTAGCCAACGTGTCATTGCTGAACATCTCCCATCATTGTGGTTTGGCAAAGGACGCACAAAAACAATCCGCAGCTCAATTTTGTCACATTTAATTGATAGTGGTCATGTTGTAGTGGAGAAAACGAGAGCTTTTAAAGTAAATCATCGTATCCCACCGAATCTTTCCAATAGACTTCGTATTCGCCTACCGCACACAGCTGAGGCGATAGCCATTCGAATTAAACTTTGAACCTAAACTATGCATTCAAAAGAAGTTCGTACAGTCATTATCACTCCTCCCATGTTGGCCTATTAAGACATAACCAACTGATGACTTCTACACCATCACCCCTTACTTACTTACTTATATCTTCCACCTCTCTCTTATCATCCCTTAGTCTTATCACATTTTCATTGAAAATGTGTCCCTTACAATCCTGCATTACTTAATCGGTTCATTTGTTTTTCTTAGCCTTTATCGACTACTATGTGTCTACCTGAACATTTGTTTGTTTAATCATGCTGTTTTCCATCAGTATTCGTGTTATCATAGATTGCCTCACTTTTTCATCCTTATTATTGATAAAACCATTATTATTACTATTATGACTAATTACATAATTTATATTCACCATCTTATCATCACCTATAGACAAAACACCATGATTGGTTTATGTATTTGAATTTTTCATTTGTAAAGTTATGTAGGTGCATATTAGAGTTAAGCCTGATGATGATGAGATCTAATTGAAAACAACAATATTGTTCGCTTAAGCAGATGTTGTTGTTTTAAATTTTACTATGGGAATATTTAATAAACTACCCTTTATCACTACAAAATTTTACAGACGTCTCAGAGATCTAGCAGACAAACTTCGTCAGACTGGTGGTCGGATAGCTGTTATCGGTGGGGGTTTCCTTGGCAGTGAATTATCTGTAAGTTTATTGAAACAACCACCACAGTCAACAGATATCAGTACAACAACGCCGCCGAATGATTCTCGCGATCAAATACAATCAAAATTATCTGTTATCCATGCATTCCGTGAAACAGTTCCAATGAGCAGTGTACTGCCACCGTGCTTGGCTTCAGCTGTAGGACGTTTTGAATCAAGTAAAGGTGTGGAGTTGTGGAATTCTTCAGATGTTGTCGGTTTATCACTTGTACCCAACAATACTACTACTACTACACATGCACACGGTACTGTCAAAGAACAGTCGAAATTTGTACCTATGGGGACAGTTGCCGCCAGTACAAATAGTAGTTCTGAACGTGTTCGTCTGCGTGTTCGTCGTAGCGTATCAGGCATTGAAAGAGTCGAAGAAGTCGATGTGGATCATGTTGTTTGTGTTGTAAGTACCTGTTCATCCCTTTTTTGTGCTTTTTTTTTGTAAATATGCCTAGTGAAGTAAATGAGTAAAGGGATTTTTTAAATGAAAAGAACAAGAAGTTCAGAAAACATGGCGATCTTTTCGACGATTTCATTCTCCAAAGCAGTTGTACAATCGCATTCATATATTATGTGATAAATCTAATAAACAAACTAATATGGAATTACTTACTACTACTACCACCACCACCACAGTGCACAAGTTTTACACATATTAATGTAACACCAACCAGCTTCGCCAAACGTATTTCAAGAAAATTTGGAAAGAGGGATTCAAGTATATATATATATATACATATATATTCGGTTTTAATTTACTCAAAATCTGAGTGACATAGACTAGAATGTGGATATCTTGTATTATTATTATTCCCTTGGGTTTCTTGTGGAACATAGGGCTCCAACAGCACCTCTCCATTTTTCTCCTATTCTCTGCAGTACTTTACACCTGACACCACGATTGCCCACATGCTTTCATTACATCCTCACGTGGTGATCTTCGCCATGTCACCCTTGGACCAACATCTGACTCGTCATTTCCCACTTGGATTCCAAACTATGTCGTTCGATCTGATCTCAATCAATGGTTTTCTCAATGTGTGTGTGTGTCTCACCAATCTCCATTTTTTACACCATATATTTTTCCCCAGTAGGTTCATGATTGGTTCATTCCCAGAGTAGCATATGTTGTTGCTGATTCTCTTTCACCGGCCATTTAGTCGTCTCTATGGAGCGCTAACAAAGGCAGTTGTCGATCGAAGTTTGCAACAGGCTGTTGGCATTTACTTTTGGTGATGAGCATTGCAAGTTTCAGGCCGATATAGGAGAAGATCTGTCTGACTTAATATATGTGTTGAAAATTCGAATTTTTTCAAATCGTGGAAAATACACATCGGAACATCAGAGTGAAATGAACAAGATGTTCAGCAAAGATGGAGATCTTTTCGGCGATTTCATTCTCAAAAACAGCTGTACAATCGCATTTATATACAACATTAGTTTACATGGATACAATTATTATTATTATTATTATTTGTTTAATTAATTCCATACAGTAACGAAGGAGATAATTATTTTCAACTTGTATGAAAGTTTGGCTGGAGACAATAGGTGACATGGCTCAAAATCGTTGTCAATGGCGCAGATGTATTCAATCTCTGTAATCTTTCATATTCCTTTCTACCATTACCCATTCTGTTTCACTCTTATACTTGTCAAACTCTATTAATTCTCTCCACTCATCTTCTTGTCTACCTCTGTGTGCTATTTGGAACGTGGCAACTCGAACTTCTGCACTTCGGTGCCAAGTTCTATGTTGAATCCAGACAGATGAAAGTTTGAAGTTATGAATATATAGATTACAAGGGGCGTAGAGACAATAGTGCATAGGATTAGAAAACGCAGTTACAACTCATGCAAAATTAATATTTGATAAATGGAGAAATAACGGCACTAAGGGCGAATAAAAGGTGGCCATTATTTTCAACTTGATATGGATTACGAGGAGAGGCTTAGAGAGAAAATTTACACAGGGACAAAACTCTAAAAGTCGCATCTTCTAGCCGTACACTACTTCGGAGCAAAGGAAGGACAGACTTCCGCATATGACTCTTAGAGTTTTGTTCACACGTGTAATTTGCTCTATCCCTGCGTAAATTTTGTCTCTAAGCCTCTCCTCGTAATCCATATCAAGTGGAAAATAATGGCCACCTTATATTCGCCTTTAGAACCGTTATTTCTCCAGTTACCAAATATTAATTTTGCATGAGTTGTAACTGCGTTTTCTAATCCTATGCACTATTGTCTCTACGCCCCTTGTAATCTATATATTCATACCTTCAAACTTTCGTATCAAGTTGACAATTATTATCACCGTCGTTACTATGTGGAATTAATTAAACAAGTAATAATTGTATCCATGTAAAATAATCTATATAAATGCGATTGTACAGGTGGTTTTGAGAATAAAATCGCCGAAAAGATCGCCATGTTTTCTGAACTTCTTGTTCTTTTCAATCTAATGTTCAAATGGGTATTTTCCACGATTTGAGAAAGGGATTTTAACAAATATCAAATACTTATTTATTATTATTTCCTTTAATTCCTAGAGGAACATAGGGTTTCAGCCGCTGACGTCTCTATTGCGTTCGGTTCTCTGCTGGAGTTTTCATCACCTGGCTCCACGCTTCTGCCCACATGCTTTCATCTCCTCTTCACAAGACCTCCTCCTCCAAGTCACCTTCACACTGACGACCAATTCGGGTCGTTTTCACTTTCGAGTTCCACTCGAGCGATGGCTTGTCCAGTGATGTCACCCACTTGATGGTTTGTTTTGTCATAGCATGACCAGCCAATCCACCTCCATTTCTTCCTGCTTATTTGTTGCATAATCGGTTCCCACTGGGTTGGTTCACTCATTGCCAAAGATCTCTCCCTGTCTTTCATCTATTCTGGCCGGCCATCTGATCTTGAACGGAGTATTGAGCGAAGACATTTAGCTGTTGATGAAGGTGTGTAGTTTGTTTGAGGTGCTCTTTATGACGCGCTGGCCAGGTCTCTGGTACGTATAGTGAGTAGCACTGATTGACTTCACATTGGAGTTGATAATCCGGATCTTATTCTCATTTTCATGCTGAGTGCTAAGTGTTGAACTACACACAGACTTGAGGGTAATGAAAGCTTGTCTTGCTTTCCCAATCCTCGCTGCTTTGATGTCCTCATAAGTTCCGTCCACCTATAGTTGAAACGATGCTTCCCGGTTAGGTGGGTAGGTAAAGGATGTTGTTTCTTTCCGGTTCCGCACATTTAAGCTGGCTGATTGTTGCCTGTTGTTGTTGGTCGGGAGTCTTCATCACCACCTCTGTTTTCTCTATGTTCACCTGAACGAAGTCCTATCTTCTCTGTATGCTTCTTCCTCCAATTTGTTGCTTTTCACTTGCATATCTTCCAGTTTGTGGGAAATCAGACATATATGATCGGCGAAGTCTAGATCCTCCAAGTTTTTTGTGCTGGTCCATTTTATGCATTTTGCCCGGCGCGCTGTCTGTCGCATTATCCAGTCTACGCCCGCAATCAGGAAAATCATTGACGATATTAGGCAGCCAGCCTTTGTCTTACTCCCGTCTTTACTTCGAAAGATTCCGTTAGTTTCCCGTTGTGGATTACTTGCTTGGCATGCAGTCAATTGGTTGGTGGCGACTAGCAGTTGAATCCAGGATAATGTGCTTTTCGTCCTATTTTGGGACTCGTCAGCTAACTGGTTGTACCTGTATTCGCCCCACTTAGTGATGGTGTTGCCACCGAGTCTGTCTCAAACCTGATGCCCTTAGTTTCAAACACCAGCCAAAGCGTCATCCACTTGACCACTTGGGTCATGAGTGATATTAATTATTAATTCAATGTTATACACACAATTTACGCTTGTCATTTCTTTGTAAAGTTTGCGTAGAATCACTATCAAAGACTTATGATTCAGTAGAATTATTATGGATTCCCTTGGTTGAGAAATACTGTCCGTTGTTATCTTGAAAAGCGCTCAACTGTTATCAATTTGTCAGGATGTTACAACTTTTGAGGTTGACCTTTTCCTACCAATTCGCTTCCCAAGAGCTGAAAGACAGTGTACAACTAACTTACTGGTAGTCGATGAGAGAGAAACACCTTAACATATATTTTGAGCCCAGAACTATCTTTCGGAATTCAATAGAGCGTAAAGCTCATAACCATCTTTCGGCATAGTATTTCAATTCCTCAACCTATAATTTCATGAAAGCGTACTATCACCACGACAGAGGCTGGGTTTTCTCAACATCCATCAACACTAACATGATGCATAAAAGTCGGAAAAGGTGTATATTTCATCTTCTCGAGCAACTAGGGCCTGTCAGTGACTGACAGTGTCGTGGGCTGTTCATAAAATCCTACTCCACCAGTTTTATTAATATTGCAAAGGTTGCGGATCATTTCGGTGAACGAAAGGCCATAATTTCACCAGTCGTAGCTATATGCCAGTGCCACTATCCTAGCAGAACCGGAACTCGCCGCCACAATTGTTATTTGCTACGGTAATACCCGAACGCAAGAATGGTTCATGCTAAGGATTAACATATGTTGTAGTGGTCAGTCATAGTTACTCCCGCTGTTTCCCCGCGTTTGGTTGAATTCCGTCACTTTGACATTCGGAGCACTGGAAAGAAGTCACATTGTGTCATAACCGGTCAATGGACATCGCAATGCTTTGTTTTAATTAGACAGTCGAATTTCCCTGGTCCTTGCCATTTCTGAGTTAGCCGTCGCGCGACAAACAATGGAAACACAGCCGCTTGACGCAACGCAGAGCAAGTCCACGTGTGTTGCTCGCCGTGCAACACTAACAGCTGTAACGCCCCACGATCGATCGCGGTCAGAGTCCAGTAGCTACACATCAATGCATATCGAAGGATACAAAGAAGCAAACAAACCAGCTTCTAACTGGACATACACGTATCTGATCTCGGCCTGTCTGACTCGGCCCCTAGAGCCAATCCTTCTCCCGAAGTTACGGATCCAATTTGCCGACTTCCCTTATCTACCTTACAGCTGTCACACCCCTAATCTCCTTCAAACCCCCCAACATAGTTTGAAAGAATTACACTTAGATGGTAACTGTCTTTGTCTGGCTGTCATCCAAGTGAATTTTCTGGCATGGTAAGACCTGTAGGAAAATTCGTTGTAGCTTTTGTGGCTGCTAACCCCCGGCCACCACATTAAGGTAGTATATATATATATATATATATATATATATATATATAATGATTCATTTTATTCCATAAACAGTACTTGTGATACAGAATGGAATTTTCAGCATTAATCACAATATTACTGCATCTAATTTCCTCAAATTATAAATAAAATTAATCATACAGAAAATTTTCCACATTTACAATAGGGGTAATGTCAAAAACATGCAGCATATAAAATGTAAATAATAATAACAATGATAACAGCTAAGGTTATAATAATGATAATAGAAGTGAAAATTGCCGTGGGCTTGTTTCACACAGTATTGTCAATGTGGTATAGAAATCCTAGCATGTTTAAAAATATTGAATATAATGCTGTCTTTACATGAATGATATGATGAGGGGAAAAACAAAGAATACAGCAATTATGAAAGTAAAACAAAGAAGTAACAGGACCATAAAAAGAATAGAAATAATAAAAGTAAAACTTGAAGGTATATAAGGATGGATGGATGAAGGAAATTGTTTATTTACTAGATGAAAAAGGTTAGTTGATTCTTGCCTGACACTATTTTCATCACATAAAATACGTGCCAAGTATGGTATCATAGAATGTTTATACTTGGATGTGCGAGCATACAGTCTTCTGAAGTTACTTCTTGTTCTACCGGAGAAGGAGATGCAAGGTGAAAGCTGAGGGTAAAGTGGATGCTCCAAGTCAGACAAAATCCCTCTAGCAAATTGCACGAAGTCAAGTGCCTATCGACAACGACGTTAACTTTGTGGTCCACTGGGACACCACTCACCCTACTGACTGACAGTCTTCAGTATTCTACGAATTGTGACATAGTCTTTTTTAAGCAAACCAGGAAAGAATAAGCAGGGGTGAACAATAGAGAAGAAGAATAGGTAGGATGGAAGAGTTTATGAACTGTAAGAGGCGAAGGGGTTGAGTTATACCCGAGTGTCTTAACTTCTTAATGTAAAATGTCAGGCGGAATATTTTACTGGAGATCGCCAGGACATGGGAAGACCAGGAGAGATCAGAAGAGAGAATGAGTCCAAGATACTTAATTTCTGATTTGATTCCTATATCATTGTCGTCAATTTTACAACTGTCATGCGAACCGATGAATTTTTTTAACTTTCGTTTACATCTTAAGCTGAAATTAACAGTTTGACACTTAGAAGGACTTACTTAGGAAGACTAACTATCAAAACAGGAATTGCGTTCTTCAGGTTATGAATAACATCTTATCTGATTAATACAGGTTGTTTTCTAACTAACTAACTAAGCAAGCAAGTAAATTTCAACATAGGACTTAGCATAGAAGTGCGGCAGTTCGATTTGCCACACTCCATGTAACATACAAAGCAAGTGAAGAAGAGATTAAAGAACATAAGAATTTAGCTAAGGTGTAAGAATGGTTGACCCCACCCGAGAAGATAAGTAATTTAGAAAAAAGCTCACAAAAACATTGCACTGTATGCATTAACACACAACCATACAATGGATTGGTGGGTGGGAGAGGGTTGACATTCTCAGAAGTAATCTATGTAGGTGGAGAGAGAGAAATAGGTTGATTACTGAATCCTGCTTGGCTCATCGAGTCTACACACAACACAACACAACACATACAACAGAAATGAATCAATGCAAATACCAGAGATATGCATAGAAGATATTATTACCACCAGTCAGTCAGTCAGTCAGTGAAATCAGAGGAGGATAATAAATTATCTTAAATTGTATTCTATTTCAATTCAATTCACGTGCATCATCACAACATTCTAACAAGTTACTCACTTATTTTGACTATAAAACAAAAACACTCATCTTGTTTCCCATCTGATTGTACTTGATCAATGACACTAACATTATTATTTCTGAATGTACATTATCCCATATTACTGATTTGTATTGAAATGTCTAATCATCAATTCCACTCATGTGTATATAAATGAAGGAAACAAGAAAGTTGTGTGTGAGTGACTTGATATGATTATGAGAATCGACGACTTCTTTTCACTGTCTTTCATATCTTAAGCTGAAATTAACAGTTTGACATTTAGACGGAAGGATTCAGTGTAAGACTGCTAGACTGAGTCTGTCTGTTTTCGACATAGAACAACTTTGCACCAATGTGCGGAAGTTCAAGTCGCCACACTCCGTGTAGCACGCGAAGCAAGAAAAGAAAGTACAAGAAAAGCATAATAGAAACAGTGAGCAGAGGTGTGAGACAAAGGAGACTGAGACCATTTACTGACTCCCGATAGAAAGCTATTCATTTTGGTGCAGTCTAGCTGGAAGTTAACAACCATTGAATATATATTGTATATATATATATATATATATATATATATATATATATATATAACCACTGCACAATAATGAAACTAATTGTGTGCCTATTATTTGTAGATCGGCATCGATCCAAATACAGACCTCTCTTCAGAAGCAGGTCTCGAAGTAGATCCAAATAATGGAGGATTTTTAGTCAATGCAGAACTGGAAGCCAGACAAGGTGTTTACGTCGCTGGCGATGCTGCCTCCTATTGGGACCCTGTTGTTGGTTGTCGACGCCGCGTTGAACATCTCAATTTCGCCGAAGAAGCTGGATCGTTGGCTGGAAAAAATATGGCTGCTTCTTTGTTATCTGGCGATCATAATTCATCATCATCATCATCATCATCGCATTATCAGCATCAATCCTCTTTATGGTCTACTCTTGGCCCTGAATTATCCTGGGATGCCGTCGGTCTGATCGATTCACGTCTACTTTTAACACGTGCATTTTTTGCTTCCACCAACGATGACGACAATACTAATACTGATAAAACAACTTCTACAACTCGATCTTTCTCAAGTCTTCTTCCTGATTCTAATCTTGGTCGACTTTCCAAAGGAGTTGTCTTCTATCTAACACCAAAAGAAAAACGTCTTGTTGGCATCCTACTGTGGAATATGCCAGATGAAATCTACTCAGATAAAGATTATCCAGGACCTAGTCGTCTTAACCTGGCGCGTAGTTTACTCGCTGAACGTCATATTATTGGCGGCGGTAAGGATTCTTCTTTGAAAGAGAAGGATCTAGAAGGAGAAGAAAAAGAGAAAAATGATCTGCGTGAATTAGCTAGCCGATTCGACATCTATGGTGAGATATCCGAGGAGTATGCTCAATTACAAGAATTCATTAAAGCGAAAGGCTTAGACATGGCTAAACTAAATGAAAGTGATAATAATAATGAAAGCGTTAACAATAAGGATGGTGACATTAGTCAACCTTAATAATAATAACACGAACACACACAGACACACATTGTTTGAGCATTTAAACAAAAGGAGACAAAACCGGGAAAGAGTTCACTAACAAAAAACACAAAGAAAAAACGAAACAAAAACAGTCTAGTTATTATTATTATTATTATTTTGTTTTGATAATTTCCGGTTTTTTTTTAAATGTACACAACTATTGAATATTTTGTAATATAAAAAGTCTCACACCCTTTTCATACACCAATGGATCAAATATAGATAGAGATTAGAGAATATTTTTTTTCTTTTTTTCTCATCTTACTACTCTTCCGGAGTGTTTGGTTTCTTGGTTTGTTTGAAAACTATTGACATAAGTATAAAACTTGGACAGGCACTATGGTGTAGTGTAGTGTTTCTTATACAGTAAGTAATATTAACTGATCCGACCACACACCATTTCGAGCACAATTTATTATTATTGACACTCATAATCATCACATCAAGTCACTCACTCACTCAGTTTGCCAGTTTACGCCGACTCTGGCGTAGACGAGATGTTCGACTATCGACGAAAGGGCGGGTGTACTGCTCATCAGTCCGCTCCGTCCTCCTTTATGGCTGGCTGTGAGACCTGACCACTGAGAGTGGAAGACATGAAAAGACTAGCTGTCTTTGATCATAGGTGCCTGCGTTCTATCTCCCGTGTAAAGTGGCATAATAAGGTGAGCAACATGGAGGTTAGGCGTCGAGTTCTAGGTAAACACGGGAAATCAATCGACTAAGTCGTGAAGTAACAAAGACTGAGATGGTTAGGACATGTGTTACGTATGCCTGGTCCATCGCCTTCCTCGACAAGCAATGTTTGCGGGTGGCACCAGTCAATGAAATCCACAACAGTTGGTCTAAGCCACGTAGGAAGGTGTAGACTTCCAGGCTGGGGTCCTCGGGACGGTAAAAATCAATGGTTGGAAACAATTGGTGACATGGCTCAAAATCGTTCTCAATGGCTGGCCAGTGCAGATGCATCCACTCCTTGTGACTTATGATCTCCAATGAAACTGTTTTGTTCTTCGTTATTACTCCTTCTTTGTCTCACACCTCTGTTTACTGTCTCTATTATGCTTTTCTTGTACTTTCTTCTCCTGCTTTTCGTGCTACACGGAGTGTGGCGACTTGAACTGGTGCACATTTGTGCAAAGTTCTATGTCGAAAACAGACAGAAAGACACTCACTCACTCACACAACTTTCTGGTTTCCTTCATTTATATACATATGAGTGCAATTGATGATTAGATATTGGAAAACGCATTCTGCTAATAGATATTTCTGTAGTTTGGTTTGTAAGGATTAGTTATGTTTTTACGAGTTGATCACGGATTGATATCAGTTAGAGAACCATTGAAAACCAGCACTGAAGTACTGGACAGCTGCTGTTTCATCCGCCTAGTTTGGGAATCATCGGCAGTACGCACCCACTGCGATTCGAACCCAGGACCTTCCTGATATCGATCTGTGATCAACTCGTAAAATATAACTAATCCTTACAAACCAAACTATAGAAAGTTAATCTGATGCTCGCTAGTGACTTGCTACAGGTGTTGGAGTTTCCTGAGTTCTAGTGAGAATTCGTGACCAGTGAGGTCCAATTAGATGTCACGAGTGTAGATGGATGTCCCACCAATGACAATGGTTGGGGTCGCGCTAAATCACGAATTAGTAGAAGTTAGAATTCACGAGCCATTGAATCGGGTCCCAGTGGCTGAATGGTGTACGAACTTGCCTTGTAACCGGAAAGTCCTGGGTGCGTACTGACGATGACTCCCAAACTAGGATGAAACAGCAGCTGTCCAGTACTCCAGTGCTGGTTTTCAATGGTTCTCTAACTGATATCAATCCGTGATCAACTCGTAATAGATATTTAGACTTTAATTCATCTCATCCGTTAACTGTTAAGGCAAGTTAAGTTAAGTATTTGACAAACTGAGCAGTAGCACTAAGTAGTACAAGAAAAGACCTAAATGATGAAATGAAACAGATAGAAGAAGAAGAAGAGTTGGTGTCAAATAACCAACTATCCTATAAAATTCATTAAGATGATCAGTAAAAACCAGAAGCGAGGTAAAAATAGTTGTTTAACTAGTAATAATAACATAAATAAAAGAGAAAGAGAGAATATAAGTCATTCACTGTTATAGCACATTAGGAGGGAGGGGACATCGGAAACCCTCCCTACGTAGGATTATGAATAAAGCTGGAATTAGAGTGACATTTGAACCTACGAACTCACTCAGGTAGAAGAAGGTCTGTAGGACCTTATCGGTTGACCCAATTAAAAAAAGTAATATAATTTACGAAATACTCTAAAATGACTGTGAGGTCAAATATATTGGTCAAACTATTAGATCGGCGGTAATCAGATTGTCGGAACATAAGAATTTAGCTAAGGTAAGAATGATTGACCCCACCTGAGAAGATAAGTAATTTAGAAAAAAGCTCACCAGTACATTGCACTATTTGCATTAACACACAACCATACAATAGATTGGTGGGTGGGAGAGGGTTGACATTCTAAGAAGTAATCTATGTAGGTGGAGAGAGAGAGACTGATAACTGAATCCTGCTGGGTTCATCGAGTCCACACACCCAACACAACACAACACATACAACAGAAATGACTCAATGCAAATACCAGAGATATGCATAGAAGATATTATTACCACCAGTCAGTCAGTCAGTCAGTGAAATCAGAGGAGGATAATAAATAATCTCAAATTGTATTCTATTTCAATTCAATTCACCTACATCATCACAACATTCTAACAAGTTACTCACGTATTTTGACTATAAAACAAAAACACTCGTCTTATTTCCCATCTGATTGTTGTAATTGATCACTCATAACACTCATATTATTATTATTATTTCTGAATGTACATTATCCCATATTGGTTGATTTGTATTGAAATGTCTAATCATCAATTCCACTCATGTGTATATAAATGAAGGAAACAAGAAAGTTGTGTGAGTGAGTGACTTGATGTGATGATTATGAGTGGGAATAATAATAAATTGTGCTCGAAATGGCGTGTGGTCGGATCAGTTAATATTACTCACTGTATAACAAACACTACACTACACTGTGTGTGTGACAGTTTATCAAAATAAAATCTTATCTATAATGGTGTTCGTTCGTTTGTTTGATATGTTTGTTCAAGTGTTATCACTGTGGTGCTATATATGTGGTCAGTCAGTCCACAAATGTTTACTTTCCTGTATGTCCTGTGTGTCAGGTTGTTTTGTGTTATGGTGAGTAATATTCAGGTGGGTTGGGGCGGGGCTAGGCTGAGTGAATCTATCAGGTTGTACAGCTATACAGCTACCTCGATTGTGACAGTTACGGGGGTATATGTGCCACACTTAACAAACCATCGCCCACATCATCAATGAGCAATATTATAGATGATATAGGATCAGGGTTGGAATAAGAGTTAGATTTGGTCACACCAAAAAATCTGGCATCATGCTAACATTCAAATGTTAGCGTGAATTATATAGAGGAATTTGAAGAAGCAATGATTGACGACTATTGGTTTAAAATCTTTTTGTCGGTGTGGTTGGTGCATATGCATTCACTCTTAGTGTTCTCTCAGTGGCTCAGTAGTCTAAGAGCTCGTTAGCCTTGTAAGGTCCTGGATTCGAATCCTGGTGGTGGAGGATGCGTACTGATGAAGAGTCCCAAACTAGTCTGTCCAATACTCTCAGGTGGGTTTTACAGTGGTTCTGTAACTGGCATGTCAGTTCATAATGAAATCCTCCATCCACTCGTCAAACAAAATCCCTACAAAACCAATACTGTGCCATATCCACCAAACTGTCATGCTTTTTTTTTCTATGTTACCATTCCTTGTCGTTCACATTTCTGCTCATTATGGTTCTCTTGAATATTTTTTTCCTTCTTTCTTTTCTTTATCTTTATGTACCATACAAAGTGTGGCAACTTGAGCTGCTACTGCACTCCAGCACAAAGTTCTGTGTGGAACCGAACGCATTCATCCAAGCCTCTTGCCTAACCAAAATTGTTTATATATATATATATATATTATCACTTTTGCACATCGACTCGAGTGCCTTCTCCCCTGATGATGGACTGCTTGTGACTGCCGACATTTACTGTTCTATGTCACTGTGATGGCTTAACGTTAAACTCTTGTCATCATTTTACTGAAATGTGCTTCTCAAATAAGGAAAACTTAATTCTGAAATTATCATATATATTCTTAGCACAAATGTGTTTTTGTGTTTTGTCCTTTTCAGTCTGTTATGTCCCGACCGAAAGCTGCTACCTTGATGTGGTGGTCGGTCTTGAACACCGCAATGACTTAATCAAGCTATACTGGCTGAAACTTATGTCTATTGAGGTCCTACCATGCCAGACAGGTTGTTTGGATAGCGGTTAAAACAAAAAGCAGCTACCCAACCCACCATTATGATACAAACAAAATTACAAAATTTCATGCCGGATCGGCTGTGGCCCGGATTAACAACGACCGCGCTTCCTGCTGCCGTGTCACAGGGCAGGAGTGATAAATATGCTACTGAGACACACAAAACAACAAAGAACAAACAAAGACAGGTCGCGTGTGACCGGCCTGGCTCAAGCAGTTGTCCCCTGAGCTCTGCGGTCACGCAACCAACTTCCACGGTGTGGGCAGCCGGGAAGTAACAATCGCCCTCACAATCCGAAATGCACACGAGACAGACAGAGAGTCTGTTATGTCCTGTACTCTTTCTATATGTAATGCTTCTTTGACATAACAGCAAACATGAGCTGACAACATTTAGAGAACCACTGGAAAACCAGCCAGGGAGTACTGGACAGCTGTTTTGTCAGCCTGGTTTGGGACTGACTCTTCAGCAGTAGGCACCCACCCCACAGAGGGTTCGAACCCAGGACCTCCTGGTTACAAGGCAGACTAGTAGAGCAGTAGGTTACAGGCAGGTTGAAGATGAGGCAGTAACTCACTCATTGAAGAATACATTGCAAAATGGTTGTGCTATATCGTGAATTGGCAGAACTTAGAATTCATGCACTGACTTGCCATTAGATCGGTTTGCAGTGGCTCAATGGTCTACGAGCTCGCTACTCCTATAACCAGAAGGTCCTGTGTTGTTCGAACCCTGGTGGTGGGTGCGTACTGCTGAAGAGTTTCAGACTAGGCTGATGAAACAGCTGTCCAGTACTCCCTGTGGTTGGTTTTCCAGTGGTCCTCTAACTGACGTGTCAGCCTATGGATGAAATCCTCCATCCACTCATCAAATAAATTCCCTACTAAACCATCAATACTTGAAAAACAATAACAAACACTTTCTTCGCTTAAGATAATCTGATTAGAATTCAATGGTTTAGCAGCATCCATCCTATTATATATGCAGACACAAGTACAGACTACTAAGTAATGAGTGAAATGAATGTTTATCACATTCTATCAGAAGAATTATCCTTTAATATTGAGTTCAGCAGTTAAGGAGTGTGTTGTTCATTTTTCTTCCTCATGGTTCACTGAAAGAGAAAATTCGAA